AAAAACCAACTGACTTTTGATTCCATCAATAATCATTGAATGATTGAATGAATGGATACAATGTAATATATTTTTTTTGTTTTGTTTTAATTTAGACAACCTGAGAAAGAGTTAAATATATTATATCAATAAATCAATATTCAATGATCAATGATGATCAATACGATATTTAGTAACCAGAACAACAGCAACAACAACAACAAGTGATATTGCTTTTTCTACACCCGATTAATATTTTTTTTTGTTTTTGTTTTTATCCAGAACCAGCCCAAGTAACAGCAACAGCAACAACAACGACGAAAAAAAGAAGAAATCTTAATGGATTTTTAACGATTTTTTTTTCGCTGTTGATTAGCAGAAAAATATATATATATCGTATTCTTATTTTCATTTGATACCCGGTACGATTAGAGACTTGTGTTTTTTTTTTTTTCGTTTTCGACGAAATTTTCTGTTTCTTTATTTTCATTTATAGTGTGTGTGTGTGTGTGTATGATTTATCAATCTTGTGATATGATAAACAATAAAAAAAAATCCCAGGGACAAAAACCAAACTGTTCATTCATTTTCAGGCACAAATTTTTTTTTCTTGTTTTTGTTTTCGATTGTTGATTATTGTTGATTGGTTAGTTTTAGTTTGAACATATGACTTGAAATGGTAATTTTTCTGTTTGTTTGTTTTTTTTTTTTTGATTTTTTCGAAAAACAAACATACAGAAACGGGAAAATAATGTCCAGAAAATTCAATCACAACGAGAAGAACTAGATTTTTGGTATCGAAAATCGTTTTAATTTTTTTTTCGAGAGAAAAAAAAAATAAAATGCCCAAATGAAATCAAGATAAATACAGAGAAGAAATTAGAAATCTATATCTATTACGACAACAACCAAAAAAAAAAAATAGTCAAATTGAATGTCAAATCATAATACGCATGTGTGATGAAATAAAACGTGATGTATATCGAAAAAACAAAACAAAACAAAAAAAAAATCCGAAAAAAAACAAAAAAAAATATCCAAATTGTCAGAATGATGATGATAATGGTGATGATGATTAGGGCTTATTCAAAAGGGTTAGGTCGATGTTGATTTTATCAAGGAAGTATTAATCAACCAACCAACCTTTGGGTATTTAATTGCAAGCAAAAAAAAAAAAAAAAAATCATAAGAAAAATAACAAACTTAACACAAACGCCAGATATATTACATGTGATTACGTGTGATGGAGTTTTTCAAGAAAATTTTTTTTCTTGTTTTGTTTCCATGCCATCCTGCTGCTTGTGTTGGGGATGGATAATCATTGATTCGATCTGTATGTGTTCTACATCATCATCATCATCATCAATGAAATCGATCAGTTTTTTTTTGTTGATCGATTTGATTTGATTTTTGTTGTTGTTGTTAAATTATACACTTTGGAACATGATCATCGTCATCATATCAGTTTTTTGTTTCTGATGATCAAAAAATAAAACAAAACAAAACAAAGATATTGACAAATTTATGTACACAATCGATGATGATCATCATCAGACCATCATCATCATCATCATCATCGATTTTTTAAAAAGAAAAAAAATCTTTTTCTCATAAATCACATGTCACAACGTTGGTTTCGTTGCTGTTTATAAATGTTTTCTTATTTCATTGATTTGAAATCAATGATTTTTCTTTTTTTCGTTTGTTTCACTTTCTCATAAAATCACATGATTTAAATAGGCGTAATGTTTGTTGGTGGTGCAAGCGTGTTTGTGTGTAGGTGTGTGTGGGTGTGGTAAACATTTTGAAATTTGAATCCAAATGAATTTTTGTGTAACAAACGAAAAAACAAAAAATTCCATTGATTATATGGATTATTTTCTGGTTGAACACAAGAAAAAACCACCAATCACCTAAACATGATGGTTTTTTTTTTTGTTTTGTTTGCTTGCCTGTTTTATTCCTCAAAGGTCAAATTGAATGAAAAAAAAATGAAATCGATTTGCTATCGAAAACAAAAAACAAAAATTTATTGATTTATCATCATCATCATCATTGTCATACATCACACATTCTATTCATCATACATATACATATTGACATATTGATGATGATGATATCTGCAGTTATGAAAAAAAACTTTGTCGCCTGACGACAATCAATGTTCAAATCATCATCATCATCATCATTTATATCGATATCGATATCATTCGAAAAAAACATCCGCCCAATTTCGTACACGTGTCAAACACCCATATCGCACACATAGATATCAATTTTCAACCATTGTAGCGGTATAAGCATTGGTGGTGGTGGTGTTTAGATTTTTTTTTATTTGATGCTTCTACTACACGCTGAAAATCCGGTGGCCATTTTTTTTTATCGATTGAAATTTTTTTTTGATATTTGAATTTGATTAAAAAAAACAAAACAAAAAAAAAGACCAGAATCCATACGTAAAATTAATCAATCAATCAATTGATTGATTGATTGATTGATTTGCACTTGAAACTTGAATAGTTTGTATTTGAAAATAAAAAGTTTGATAATCTGAATTGAATAAAAAAAAACGCGTTTTCTCTCTCGCTTTATCTTGTTTCATTACACACCAGCCACGTCTATATTTGCTACATTTCAAAAAAAAAATGAATGAATGGCCACTTTATATATATTCTGTTTAATTGTCGAGCAAGAACCACCACCACCACCACCACCACAACCACCATTGCCACTGTTATTCATTTTTTATTTTTATTTTTCAAGTGCAAATGGTACCTGTATACATATATATGTATGAATGTGTGGCGGTTTAGTGTTGTTTGACGATTAAGAAATTGGGAAAAAAAAATTTCCAATTACAAATTGTTGAAAAAAACACCAGCATTCACCAGTATTTTAACCAAATGTGCTAATTATTCATAGCAACAAAAAATTTATCATTTCAAAAACAGACACACACACACACACACACACAACAATCCAATAATAATGACGATAACGTGACAAACGTGTAGTTGTTTCGTTTATCTGTCGTTTCGTTTAGTTTTTTTTATTTTTGATTAAAAATTAAAAAAAAAAAAAAAATATGAATAATTGAATGATTGATGGATTTGAAACATCCACAACCGAATATATTATTATTTATTGATTATAACGATAATGATGATTATAATCATCGATTGGTAATATGATTCGATTTCGTTTTTTTTTTTTATTCAACTTATATTTTGTCATCATTGCCATGTGTTAATCTATGTCGATATATATTTATATATAAACGAGTACATTTCAAGTGCAAGTAAAATCAATACATCCATCATATTCATGTGATTTTCATTGCAATTATTTCATCATCATCATCATTACCAATCATATAAATCATTCATTCATCATAGATTGGACATTGGAAAATTAATAAAAAAAAAATTTTTTTTTTTTGATGGTCAATATATGCACTGTGTTTTTTTTTATCTGGGTTTTGTTTTTTTTTTTTCGTTTTTGTAATTAAAAAAAAATGTCATCAACAGAAAACAGAAACAGTATCATCAAGTAATTATTATTATTATTTTTTTTTGTTTTGTTTCTGTTTGAAAAAGAAACCGGTCATTGAAAATGATTCGATTGATTCGATTGAATTACATACGAATGCATTGACCTCTTTTATTTGCTCTTTTATGGTCATGATGATGATGATGACAACAAGGTATCCAAACACCTACATTTGATAGTTGAATTTTGTTTTTGTTTTCATATACCAAATAATAATCATAATCGATTAGTCTGGATAGTTATTGGAACCAAAAGTGGTATTTTATTTTTTTTTTTTTTTTGATCCAAATAATATTCTGTTAGATGGTAAATTTTTCTTTTTTCTTCATTGTTTATTGTTGACACTCATTTATCATGATTATATTATCAAATAGAAAAAATAACCAGAACAGCAAGAATTGGAACAATTGGAATAATGAGAATTTATGAGGTTCATCAACAAAATAACAACAACAACAACAACAACGAACGACGAAAACATTGCAACAAAATAAAACAACAACAAAACTGATTGAACCATATTGTTGATCAATTTATTACCATGAAGTAAAAAAAACTGTCGTTTATAAATAAATGTATTAAAATGTCAGCAGATTGATTTTCTTTTTGCATTCAGTTCATTTTCGGTGCTTGCCTGGTACAATTTAATGTGACAATGCGCTATCTATAAAACAATGCCTGTAATGAACATGAATCCATATATACATGATGATGATGATGATGATTACTGGTTTCCATGTCACTTTTTGACCATAGTTATATTGATAATGAACGTTAAATTCAAACAAAAAAAAACAAATCATCACTAATCAACACGATTGCCATCTTTTGTGGACGATATAAATTAATTGTAAAAAAAAATTTATTTCATACATTAAAAGTTTTTCAAAATCACTCATAGTCTTGTATGAATTTAGCACAAATATTTTGAGTATGTGTGTGTGTGTGTGTATACAAAAGAAATAGTAGTAGTACACAATGTCGGTTACTCTATGCTGCTAATACAAACTGTTTGTGCACAAATGTGTGTGTGTGTGTGTGGGTTTTGTGGTGGTGGTGGTGGTGGTAGTAGTAGTTGCTAGCCGATTTATTATTTTTTTTATTCGAGCTCACTCGCAAAATATTGAACAAACAAGCAACGAAAATAGAAGAAAAAACATTGAATGAAAACAAAACTGGATTCTTCAACGTTTATTATTATTATTGGTGAATAATGAGATAAAATTTTTATCATCATGATTATTAATTGATTATATATATTCTTTATTCTAGATAATTAAGAATCAATCATCATAATCGTCATCGTAATTGCAAATTTTTTTGTTTTCTGGTACGTTTTTAAAAATTCACATTATTAACTCGAAAACGAAAATAAATATTCGGACAAAAGCCATCAATCAATCAATCCATTTGATTGGTTGATTGGCCACAACAACAACAACGACGACGACATTAATTCATTTGAATTTTAATCGTTTTTATCATCATCATCGTTAAAAAAATCAATCAATGAGATTCATTAATTTCATAATCAAATAAAAATGGCCAGACGAAAATCGACAGCAAAAATTGCCGATAACGACAATAACAACAACAGTGGCCAACAACAACAATCGACGATCAATAAAACAACAATGGCCAAACAAAAATCTGTGAAACAGGCAAAAAATTCGAAAACATCAAAAGGTACAAAAGGTCGGCCAAAAGGTAAAACAAAACAACAACAACAAACAACATCTGCTAAAAGAGGTCGAAAACCTGGCAAAAAATCAACAACAAACGAAACGAAATCACTTAAAACAACGAAAAAAAGGAAAAAAACAACCACTAAACGTGTAATCCAGAAACCTGGCATAAGTCGTCGACATTATCATTCAGTTAGTATGAAATTGCAGCCATCTAAAGAATTTATTCAGCAAAAAATAACCAAATTGAAAGATCAAATGCAATTGATACGTAATTCGCAAAAAAATCCCGATTTAGCTCGTAAAATGATCATGGCATTGGAACGACATTGTGACAAAGTTGTTGATCGTGTTCGTATCAAACGAAAATCACGACATAAGATGAGCAAAATGGCTAAAATGAATGAATTGAAAAATCGGAAAATTGATCTGAATACACCGCAATCAATATTATGTGATTATAATTGGACACAATTATTGAATCGAAAGAATTTTGATCGATTACCCGCTTATTATCAATATCATTTGACAAAATTATTACCAAAATGTGATCAACAATTATTGGATAATAATGTTATCTGTCCAACCGAAACGGCCTTTACTAATGAGTTTTTTTCACGTGCTGTAAATAATTATTTCAATCGATTGGTAGAAGGTAAATTGACCACTGAATCATTGGCAAAAATTAAACGTGAAATTGAAAAGACAAAAAATCGTCTTGATCCACTTAAATTGAAATATTTTGAACCAGTATTTCGTACACCGGAAGAAGATCTACCTAAACCATTAACGGATGATGATCGTTGTAAACAAGGAATGGCCTTTATGAATGCATTTATAAATTGTGTAGATAAAGTAAAACAAACACAGCGTAAAAAACAAAGATTAATGGCAGCATCAGCAACAACTCAACAACAACAACCATCAACATCGGCCAATATTTCACAGTTGCCTGCGCCACAATCACAACCACCACCACCATCAGTTCAACAACATTCATCGAAAAAACGTATCTGGGATTACTTACCTTCATTAACTACTTATGAAGATCCAAGAGTAAAGAAAATGGTGAATGAAACGTCAATGAAACCGAAAGCTACGGTTACATTTTCTGATGTGGAAAAGAATCCTGATTTGTTACCATATTTAGATCATTCTGATTTGGATCGTTATGTACAAAGAAAAATTTCATCGCTAATATCACAATTATCGTTGGATAAAGACCCAAGACGTTGTTATCGTTCATGCGATTCACCACCGGCACTACCACCACTACAACCATTGACAACAACAATTGAATTAGTCAGAAGGTATAATCCTAGTGATGATCGATTTAGTCACATAAAGCCTGGTGATGATCAATTTAGTCATCTAAATCCTGTTTATTCATCTAACAACAACAATAATAATGATGTCTATGATGATGATATGATTCTCGATTCTGAATGTAAAAATATTGTGGACGATAATATCATCAAAGATCCTAGTTGTTGTGATCTAGAAATAGAACAATTAAATCTTGATGAACAGATAAAATTTGATCAATTATTAATGATTTCGGATCTTAAGATTTCAGAAGCCAAGCATCGTCATCATCCTCAGCAGTCGCAATCGAAATCACAAATAACAACAGTACCAAAGAAACGAAAATTATCAAAGAAAAATGTGATTACTCCACAATCAACATTATTACAACCCGTTGTTTTTGGTATGTGAATTATATTATAATGATGATCATTATGATTATCAATAAATTTGACGAAAACGTGTTTTATTTTTTTTTTTTTTTTAATAGCTAACAATGATAATACTGGTGAACAGCCTGCGTTTTTTATGACAACCACTGGCAATATGTTGACCATGATACCGAATGATAAAACGATAATCAAACAACCACGACAAGGAAAACCGAAAGCTACCGTATCGGACATTAACCTATTAAATAATCCGTCTTCTACTACTAATACTTCATTAACTCAGGCTAATAATCAATCAACATCAAAAGCTTGTTTGCATAAACCAACGCCGAATAATTCATCACCATTATCGATGCCAATAAAATATATTGCTACTCGAACACACTATCCGATATCATCAACATCAACATCGATAATTTCGGGTAATTGTGGTCAAAATATGCAACAACAACAACAACAACAACATCTACAATCACAATTGAATTTGAATCGAGCTACTACTACTACAACTTCTGATTATAGTCCCGGTGGTGGTGCTGGTACTGGTGAATCGACATCATCGTCAAAATCATCATCACCATTAAAAGTGCAACCAATACATGTGATATTTGATAATAATAATGAATCATTACCAAAGATAGTTCTTACACCACCACCATCATCGTCATCATCATTGTCACCGGTATCGAATCGACCAATAGCAGTTAATTCCACTATTTCAAATACAACTTCTGGTCCTGTTCAGCATCAGTATTTAGATAATAATGGCAAAGTTCATTTTAAATATTATAAAAAACCGCCGACAACTATTAGACGAATAGAATCTGATATGTTAAAAATAGGTAATTATCGTATGATTGAATTGCCGCAAGTATCATCGTCACCATCATCGTCACCGGTATCGAATCGGCCAATAGCAGTTAATTCCACTATTTCAGATACAACTTCTTGTTCTGTTCAGCATCATCAAAATGAAAGTGGCAAAGTTCATATTAAATATAATAAAAAACAGCCGACAGCTATTAGACGAATAGAATCTGATTTGTTAAAAGTAGGTAATTATCGTATGATTGAATTGCCGCCATTACCATCGTCCATGTTGACGAATCAAACAGCAACAACAACAACCAAATTCTGTACATTTCAACCATTACCATTACAAACATCAATTATTGCTCAACCACAGCAGCAGCAACAACAACAATCATTGAATCGTTCGAAATGTACAATGACTATTCAACGACCAACTACAACGAAATCATCAACAGTAATCAATAGTATTCATGATTATCAATCGTCCCAATCGATTGTTCATCACCATCAAATGGCCACTATTAATCCATCATCAACATTAATATCATCTGGATTGATGCCACCACCACCACCACCGCCACAATATTCATCAACTATCACCAACACGACACCAAAACGAATACGTCTAATGAATACACCATTTACAACTGTCACAACATTGCCTACCGTTGTTCACACCAATAAATCGTCAAATTCGATTAGTACTGAGCTTCCATCATCTTCACGAAAAATTTTTGATATTGGTCAAGCAAAGACATTTTACATTCAGACTCCAACATCATCATCATCATTTTTAAAAACGAATAATAATAATGGACAAAACGATATCTTTCATAAACAAGAGCAGCTTGGTACACGATTTGATAAAATGTCAGAGGAACAGAAATCGAAATCATTTTCTCCTCTGCCTGAAGAGTAAGAGAATCAATAAGAAAATTACGACCTACCAACCGATCCCTTTCCCCACAAACAAACAAAAAACATCCCATCCCTAGTTTTATTTTATTTTATTTTATACATATCCATGATAAATTAGCAGGTTTTTTTCTGGCGTCTTGCAGGATGAACAAAAAAAAAATTTCATGAAAAATAAAATTCACTTTTGATTTTCTTTTCCTATTGATTGTGAAGTAAATTCAGTGGTCACTTTCAAAAGAAATCAAATAACATAATGTGTTCAGAACAACGTGCAACAATCGAATAAATTTTATTTTTTTAAATTTATAATATGAAACTAGTAGATTTAATTTAGTTTTAGAACATTCATCAAACATTAAAGTTATATTACACGTTTCTTTTTATCACTAGATATTCATCAGATTAATTGATGATTTATCCACTATTAGTTAATTAATTATACTATATATATATCACAATCATATTATCATTTTGTTTGTCTTTCTGTCTGTCTGCCTGTTTGTTTGTTTGTTTGTTTGCTTGTTTGTTTGAATTTCAATTTCGTTTGCGTCTATTTCCACCTCGGCCATTCATTTAAAACTTTTTTCCTTTTTTTATAATAAATTTATTGATTGATTGATTAACTTTTTAAAAAAATGGTAATTAAAAATTTTCAGATCTGGTCATCATCATCATCATCAACAACAACAACAACAACAACAACAATTGCATCAGCATCGATCAGCATTCATTACAAATCAGGTAACATTACCGACGGTTAGAACAACAACAACGACAACAATGACGATGACAACTGAGAGCAGTATTCTGGCACAGCAACAACCATTTGTTCCAACATGTACGACGTCCATAATCAATAACAATAATAATCTACAGCCACATAAACAACAATTTGTTGTAAATATGGCAATGAATGAAATAACATTTGTTGGACAACATCAACCCATTTCAATGAATACAGCAGCAGCAGCAGCAGCAACAACAACAAAAACAACACCACCAACTACGACATCGCCATCATCAGCTATGAAAAATCGACAACGAAAAACAAGAAATGTGATGTTGGATGATCCAAATGATAATACTAACAACAACAGCAGCAGCAGCCGAAATAATCGTCGTGGTCGACGTCGTACAGAATTTTCCAATTATCATAATGATGATAACAATAATGATGGTGACAATAGACAATCGCCAACTACTATTATATCCACTATCATGATACCGATCACAGAAACGGAAACTAAATCTAATGAATCCGATTTGGAAGAAAAACCTAAAATTATTATTTCTGCCAGTACTACTACTAGTAATGATGATGGAAAACAAATGAAAGATTTAACAACAACGATAACATCAATGAAACCATCATCATCATCATCATCATCGTCATCACCATCATCGATCTTTGAAATTAAGAAAAAACGTAGCAATGATGAAACGAAAATAGTGATGCCCGTTATTACGGAAATGCAATATTTATGGCACTGTACTTGTTATCGAAATTTTATACGCTGTATACGTAAATCAGCAAGATCATTAGAACATTTGGCATTCGTGTTTCGTTATTGGTTAGAGTATGATCGAAAATTATTATCATCAGAAGCATTCAATAATGTTATAGTGAAATATATTGATGCCGTACGTAATTCATTGATCAATACAATAATGTCGATTAAAGCATTGATTGCATTAACATCGTCCACATCATCATCATCATCATCATCATCCTCGTCGTTATTGAAATCACAATCGGATGCTAAACAATCATTTTATGATCAAATAATGAATGAATGGCATGTATTGAATAATGAAATGGCTAACGATCATAATCACCATTGTCCTGGTAAACATTTGATGGATAAATTTAATTATGTTTCCCAACAAGGACATGAAGTATTTCGGGCAACACTTTTTATGTTAAGATTTGAACAAGAAAATTTACGTGATCTAAATATTGATCTCTATATGAATATGTTGATAAAATTTATTGCCTATCTGGATTTTTTTATCACTATTATGCGTAATCATTGTCAATCTCATCATGGTCAACAACCATAGCCAGCCACAGCAAGCCGCCACAGCCACCATCATCCAGATGAATTAAATAGTAAACGCCCATATAATTGTATCCATTTACACAAACCATTTTGTACATTTTTTTTTTCTTCATAAAAAAAATTATTATTTATTGTATATATTTTATTGATTGATTGACTGAAATAAAAAATAAAGAACACAAGACAATACAAAAAAAAACGATAAATTTTTGAGCATTTTTTTTCCATATGTAACCATTAAGAAAGGAAAAAAAAGATAAGGTGTGACAAAATGGCAATCAAAATGATAATAATGGCATATATAGAGGGATGGAAGAATATAACAATAATTTGAATTAGAAGACAGAAAAAAACGGTTTAAAAAAATTGAATAAATTATTGGTTTTTTGTTTTTGTTTTGTTATGTGTTTGTTTTCAGAGTAAAATATGATCAGCTTCTTCTGGTACATTTAGAAATGTATCAAAATTATCTCGAACACATGTACCATCATGTTTGAAACTATATTTATGAAATGTTCCATCAACACAGATAGCATAAACCGAACGGCGATCATTACCACCACCAAATGAACAAACACAAGCACATTCAGCTGTTAATGTAAATTTAGCTAATGCATAGCTAGCTAATTGCATATTATTCACTAATGGCATCGATGATAATGTTGAACGTCGATTTAGACGTGTATCTTTCAATGCAAATATATGCACAGTACCTTTATCACTTGAAACAAGAACATATTCAGAATCTGGTGAAAATACAATTCCATATACCATAGCCTGATCGATACCACGACGAAATTCAATAATTTGTACTGGTGATAATGGTACATATTGTTGTTGTTGATGATGATTATGTTGATAATGATTATTGATATTTGATTTATTTGCTATATTACCATCTGTATCGATTGTACGAAATATTCGTATTAATGTTCCTTTACGTGATGCAGTTGCCAACAATGTACCTGTTCGATTCAATGCTATTGATGCTATATCGGAAGTATGTGCTGAAATACTTGATGGTGATATTGAGGATGATGCCGACGCAGCAACAGTAGCTGCAGTCATATTACCATTGGTCATTGTTTCATCGGACTCTTCAACAGTGTCCAAATTTTGTTGTGCATTGTAAAGCTGATGATGATGATTATTGACCGTTAACAATCGATTTGTATGTGATAGATCCAATAATTGAACACTACCAATACGATGACCGGGATAGGCAAGTAATTGAATTTCAGCTGCATTGGTCAATGGTGTCACTTCACAGATGCCCATCGGATTATCACGTGTTTCGATTGAAAATAATTTTGTTGGTGAATTTGGAAATGAAAAACAATGTATTCGATTACGTTCGACAACGAATAAACGATCACGTCGTATTTTCAACGCTAGTACACGATTAGCGAATGTAAATTCCAGAACGAATTTTTTCTGATAATCATCCCAAATCAATACGGTATTATCAGCAAATTTGGGCCGTTGACCACCACCAACAATTGCAATTAAATTTGTACGATGTAATAATTTACATATCGATACGGATCCAATAATTGTTGAATCGATAAATAATTTACCAACTAATGGTTCCATATTATAAATACGAACACCTGAATCCATACAAGCGACGAATAGATTACCTTCATCATTAATCGATACGTTTAGAATTTCACGCTGATGTTGATTCATTATCAATTTCGAATCCCAATTGATTAGTGTTAATTTACGAATCACAGATTGAATTTAGACTGTTTTGAAACAAATAAACAACAACAAAAAAAAAACAAAATAAAATCTGATGATGATCATCACAAACAAATAAATTACGTCTTGGAGTGAGCGCGCAGGTACCAGTGCCGCCATCTATCGATGGTAGAATGAATTTTTTATGTGTGTGTTTTAAATTTTTTATTTGATGATGTATTTTTAAAAAATTGATCATTAATTAAAAAAAGATTTTTAAAAATTGCTACTAATCAGAAACATAAATTTGGTGTTTGTTTGGTTAATGTTCAAATTAAAAAAAAAATGATGACAAAAAATAATAAAGAGAATCCTTTAGGTTATTGACAATTGAACGTCGCTTGGTTACTGCCGATGTATTCATTTGTTCAGTAGTAACAATACATGATTTCATTCCATGCAATACACGATTACGTCGTTCATCATTATCATCATTGTCATTACCATTATCATCAGGATTCATTAAATCTTTTAGACTTGATGAAGAAATTCCGACCAATTTGGCACAAAAATCAGCCTGATCTTCAGATGATGATATTGATTTCCGGCCATATTGTTCAGTTTTTTCTGCAAAATAAAGCATCATTGTCATAATATCAATAATCACATTTTTGAAGCGATGATGAAACTATACCTTTAAATGGGCAAAAATCCTGTTCACTTAGTATTCCACGCCAGAATGCTTCATCCACTTCGAACAAAGCTTGCATAACATTAATCTGTTTAGGTATCTCTCGTTGCATGGCTTCAGCTGATGGTTGTCGAAATTCTGAACTACCAACAATGGTTGGTGCAAATATATTGGCCAATGCCTGACGATTCATTTTCGTAACAAGCTCAGCTTTAGCAACATTTTGTAAATGAAGAAACAAAAACGCCAATGAATCACGATTAGGCAATGGTAATTGACAGATGACACGTTTAAGAACCATGATTGGACTATTCATATCATTGTCACCAACATCATCATCTACACCTGAATCGAGTGGTTTATTCGAATGTGATGATTTTACTGAAGTTTGAACAATGTGAACTATAAGTATGAAAGAATGGAGAGAAAACAAAACAAGATCAGATTAGAAACAAACTAAAAATTATAAGACTTACCAGAAGCACGATAGAAATCATTCCACATAATGCGAGAAATAAGTGAATCATCAAGATCACGTAGAAACATTTTAACAACACCGCAAATTGTATTCACCGATATTATGGTCGATAAATTAGGCATACCGAATTCTGCTTTAAGAATTTTTCGTCGTAATTCTCGTGTTTCTTGATCAGTGCCAGAGATACGATACACACCAATAACCGAGGAATCATCCTTGGTTCGTGAATCTTCTAATGCTAAACAAATACGACGATCAATTTCATTACAGCAATGAATCAATAATGGTGGTATACATGGTCGAACCGAGTCAGGTACAAAATCACCAATAATAAGAAATTTACCACCAACCCTACGACTATCTCCGGTGAATGCAATCATTTTCTTGATACTTAGATTGGTCGACATGTATGGTAAACATGGTTTGGGCAATTTATCACGACAACGATTATGACAAACACCACGACACTCAATGCAAACGCCATATGAACAACAGAAACCGATATTTTTATTACAAACGGTACACATTATTGTTTTGAATGCTTTCTTATCGACAAATCTATGCGGTCGGCTAGCCAAACGATCGGCATCCAATCGTGTTGCCTGTGCATTACGAAGCATTGTTAGTGTTCGTGTTAATGATGTTGATGGCTGTCGATTTAATGATTGACGAGCTGCTTCTGATAAAGATCGCATTGTTGGTTTAAGAAATTTATCATTATCGTTTGTTGTTAATGTCGGTTCTTTTTTCATCAACGATTTCTGTACTTCCGACATATTGGGCATTAAACAAAAACCAACATTTAAAACTGATTCATTACTAGAATCTTTTTCATCAGTAACTTCTGCAATTGTTTCGAAACGTGATTGTGATATCATTCTCGATGTGATTCGTTTAGCTTCTGTTTGTTTGCCACAATTTTTAGACGACAATGATGACGATGGTTTTGGCGGCGGCGGAGGCGGTGGTGGTGGCGTTGGTATTGGTGCACTTGATAATGTTTGTGAATTTCGAATAGTAATAGCCGGTTTATTTGAATGATCGATACTATCATCAGATTTATCAAATAAAAGTCCATCATCGGATTCATCATCATCATTATTTTGTGGTACCAAAGTGTCTACATGTTCTAATATTGAAATCAAACTGGTAGTTGATTTACTAAGTCCAATATTTTGATTTAAAATTTGTGCTGTCTTTGTTTCTGAATTTTTTTGACTATCCATTTCAAGTATCATTTTTCGTAATATATCCATCTTTTTCTTTAAATTATCATGAGATTTTTGAATGGAATCTTTTTCTTTGATTTCACGTGCATATGCACGTTTAATACGATCCCAGCGTAGTTGCATTTGTATTACATTATCTTCAAGTTTCTTTATATGACGATCTTTTTGTTGATTTTCTTCAATAGTCTGTGATAATTTTATACGACATTTATCAAAATTTTCAACTAAACCAATGAATGCTATGGTGAAACAAACAAACAAACAAATAAAAAAGAAAGTGGTGATCCATTTTGTTGGAATTGAATAACTTAAACTTACATTTTAGTTCATTTTTTGTAATCAATGTAGGTTGTACCATACGAAACATATCATCAAATTGTGCTAATAATGATAAATTTGTACCATTCGATGATGTTGATTTTGGTGTAGAGCTGATTTTATCACGCATTTTAGACTTTAAAAATTCTTTTGGGTCATTTGCCATGATTGAAATGATTTGATTTTTGTTTTGATTTGATTAATTATTATTATTAGATTATGATGACAATAATAAATAAAAACACCAAGTAAATAAAACAAAAATCAAACCAAGTACACAAAACGAACAAACCGATTGATGACCGTTGGATTAACAACAACAGTGAAGCAAAGCGCGATTTCGAAATTACAACCGTCATGTTTTTAAATGATTCGGTTAATTTAGCGCTTTTTTTCTTAATTTTTATGTGTTTTATGCTATGCTACTACCACTGCTATACTACTACTTCTACTACAGTGCTGCAGCTAACGTTTTCACTTTGCTTTCAACCAAATAACCAGTACAACGGCAACCAATCATGATCGGCATGCATATCATCAAAAAAAAAAAAGTAGTGGCAAGCAACACAAACCACGTTCATATAATACGTAACAAAATTTAAAAAAAAAATTTCAATAAATTCTGCATTTTGAACCACAACATATAGAAATTGAAGAATTTGAATTTAAATTCTTGTCTTCAATGAATCAATCCTAGAGAAAAAAATGGGTATCATCTATGTGTACATAAAAATAACATACAATTCTACAATAATTTTCAAAAAAAAAAAAAAAAAAATGCCACCTGTTGAGAAAAAAATAAAAATATCTTCTCAATAGGGCGACAAAGATTGATGGATAGATAGATATTCTTGCATCCTCCACTATACTTCACATACACCATCATTACAACCATCACATCAAATACACAAACACACAGATGTGTATAACTTATACACCCACATTCATCATCATCATCATGTATGATGCATGGATTCAGTGTTGATACATTTACAATACAATAACCGGACGGACAGACAGACACACACACACACACACACAAACACAAGCTGGATAACTTGGATGGATGGCAGAAAAAAAAATAAACTTGTTGCAAGCAAAAAAAAAAAAGCAAAGCCTCACCTTGTTGTGTTTGTGTATGTGTGTGTGTGTGTCAGTTTTTTCGTATTCAGTGAAGATGATGGTAATAAGATGGTAAAAATTCTCTTATTTTTCAAAAAAAAAATTCATTTCAATGTGAGATGATTTTTTCTTATATTTGTGTTTGTTTGTAGTGGGTTGGTATTCAAGTGGTTAAATTTTTTATCATTATTCTTTCCCTTTGTCGAGATCATCATCGTTGTTTGACTTTTTTTTTCCTATTCGGCTATCTCTCTCTCTGTCCTTTTTTTTCTGTTTTGTGGTGTGTGTATGTGTGTGTTTGAGCAACAAGTTGTGGCCACCATCATCATTATCATCATCATCATCATCATCATTATTATTATTAAGGTTGATGATTATATTTGGACACACAACAAACACTCGATTCGCTTCTGAAGAATACATACAACATTGATGATGTGCCGAACGATGACATTGCAATAGATCATCACACATCAGACACACACACACACACACACGAAAACAAACAAAGAAATGATGATTCAAATTTCCATTTATTTTATGTGTTTTAAACAGAATAATAATATAATAATCTGAATCAGTAAAATCAAATAATTAACCGGCGTTTTTTTTCATTTATCTATCTCGATGTTGTTGTGGCAAAACAAACGAAATAAATTTGGAACAACCGAATCAAATTACCATCGGTGCGGGTGAATCATCATCATTTTGTGTTTGTGATTGTTTTTTTTCCACAATGAATTGGCTGTTTTTTCATCATCATTGATTTCTGGCCAGTTCGATGGCTTCATCTTTCTGATGACATGACAATGTGTTTGTTTAGTATTACCATCATCAGTGATTTGTGAATTTGGCCATCACAACATCATTCATTCATCATCATCTTTATTATTTAATTTTTACAAGTATTACAATCCAGGTATGAACCAATTTTCACATCCTTACATTGAATCAGAAATTGTCACATTAGATTAGAAACAATAACAACGACGACAACAACAATAACAACAACAAAAATTGATCAATAATCGATAAACAAAAAATTACAATAAACATCAGAATAACCTTGGCTTTTTGTTTATTCACAAATGTTGATCATTGGTACTTGGCAAAAAAAAAACATGTCATCAAAACCTAGATATCCAATCCATTGCACACACACACACACACACACACGTACAGATAATATTATTAACCTGTTGTCATCGTGATGATGATGATGATTTAAAAAAGTAGAGAATTTCCATAGTGATCATCATCAATTTTCAATTATGATTAACAACAACAACAACAACAACAACGATACCAACACCCAGTCTAATATTGCCTTTTTTTAAAAAATTGTTTTCTTTTCATCTTTTTTTTTCTATTTCTTAGGTTGAATAAACATCACTTTGTGCAAATAAAAAACATTCCACATGTAAACGCATTCATACAGTTAAAAAATCATGATGTGAAATTTTTTTTTTGGATCAATCGATCGATAATCAAGTCTATTGTATTTTTCAAATGATCATTATATTGATTCGAAAATGTCAAAACAAAATGATTTAGAAAAAAAATTATTAGCCTGGTGTCAAATGGCCACCAATGGCTATGAAGGTGTACAGATTAATAATTTCACCAACAGTTGGAGTGATGGTCTTGCTTTCAATGCATTGATACATCATTATCGGTAAATGTTTTAAATTTTTTTCCACCTCCAAACAATCAAACACATTGATTGATTTCTATATATATATATTTTTTTTTGATCAAAATAGACCAAAATTATTCAGCTATGGTGAAATATTATCAATGGACACCAATGATCGTCTTAAACATGCATTTGAAATGGCCGCTAAACATTTCCATATTGATCAATTACTTAAACCAGATGGTTTGTTATATTTACAATTCATAATTGATTTTTTTTTACTTAAAATCCATTTATCAAATATCTAGATGTCAATACGAATAGACCGGATAAAAAATCTGTGATGATGTATGTTATGTGTTTTTTTCAAGTGATCGAATTACAGCAACAACAACAACAACAACAACAAAAACAGCAACAATCAACAGAAATTATTCCATCCGGTATTAGCAATATTCCAAAACGTTCAATATCGCATTCATCATCAACTACTACATCATCATCATCATCGGGACATAAACATTCGGAACAAACAAGTATTAAAAGGCAATTAAATATACAAACCGGAAAATCGCCGATAATGGATCAATCATCACCATCATCATCGGGAAAGAAAATGAAACGTACCACACAATCTGGTATACCGGTTTTATCACCTGCTTATCAACGACGTCTTACTACACCCACCACCATCAGCAGTGGTGGTGGTGGTGGTGGCGATCAACAAACTAAATCATCATCAAATGATTCAAGTGGCAATAATAAAACAATTAACGCATCCAAATCAGATGCTAAACTATTGGCAGGATATAATAAAATTATTGAAGATTTAATGACATTATTATTAGATGCCGAAGATCGGCTACAACAAAAACAACATGATGATCATGAAAAATTTCGTTCTGCCAATTTTGAATCATCATTGAAAACGAATGAATCGACAACAACCACAACAACAACAATGGGACCATCCACCGATTTTAATCAAATATTACATAATCGAATAATGGCCACAATTGAAATGGCTGAATATGCAAAGATGCGGTTCAGTGAACATGAACAATTCTTAATCGAAATTTCCGATTATTCAGGACGTATAAATCATGCATTTATAAAAGGCAAACGATTGATTGATTCAAATTCAAATTTTCGTACAATGTCAACAACGCAACAGCAACAGCCAAATGTGGCTGTATTAATGGATCCACAATCGAAAAATGAAATAGTCATACAAATGAATCTATTGAATCAACGTTTCAATGATCTGCGTTCAGCTGCAATTAAACATCAACGTTATCTACAAGATATGCTTATACAGGCACAGAATAGTCAGCTAGAAGAATTACGAACATTAATGACAAAAACTGAACAAAAAATTTCGCTATTGATTCCGGAAAAAATGGATGAAATTCCATATTCATTTCAATCATTACAGCAACAAATTGATACATACAATCAACTACAGGAAACAATGGATTCTGAACAACAATTATTGAGCGCAATATCAAATTTTGTTGTCGTCGATAGTGATAGTGATGGTAATTCTGCAATAAGCAACGATTTTGTTGATCAACTTGATGCATTGAATGAACGATGGGCAAACGCTTGTAGAATAACTGAAAATCGTGGAAAATTTCTGCAAAAATTATTTGAATGTTGGTCAGCATTTGATGATGAAAAGAAACGTTTGAATGATTGGTTTCAACGTCTTGAAAGACGTTTATCCGATATTGAAGAATCGGCCGATGAAACATTGGCCAAAACAACAATGACCGTACAAGATATACGATTTTTGAAAGATATACAACGACGTTTGGAACGAATGCGTACCGATATTGTTTATGGACCGGATCAATTACATCATCGTCGTAAACAGCAACCAAATAGTGTAGAAGAAGAAGAAGAAGAATTGAAAAGTTCACCAATTTCAAAAATAACCGGCCATTCATATGCATTATTGAAATTGGATACAAAAGGTGATTCAAGATTTAGTCAAAAAATTATTACAAATATTGAAGATATTGGACGTCGTTGGGAAACATTGGTAGGACAAATTGAATCGATTGAGAATAATGTTCAAGATTGTATTAATCGATATCCAACATTAATGACCAATGATGATAAACCGATCACCATTGCTACAGCTAAAATGATTGATAATCATGAAATGAAGAGCCCTGTTGTTGATAATGATGAATCAACAACAGAACTTAATAAACATCGTAGTAAAGTAGTAGTCAATCTACATGATAGTAATATTCGTGAATGGGAAAACCTAGTCGATTCTTTGATTAAATGGATCAATACGACAGCTGATACAAGCAATAATCTAACTATTGGCCAACAAGAATTTATTGATTTATTTCAAATGATGAATAAACAAAGTGATATTGTAGCCATCGATTTGATCGATTTTGACTTGACAAAACAATCAAATACACAACAACAACAACAACAATCGGTGATTGAAAAATATTTAAAACAATGTTCACCTCAGTTACGACAAAAATTACCGCAACCACTATCATCGATATTATGTGAATTATCATTAGATAGTGATCATTATGATGATGAAAACGAATTATCATCAATGATTATGGTATTAAAACAAGAAGATCAAACATTATCCCAACTACAACAGGAAATCAAATATCGAACGACAGATTTTCGCCAATTAATTCAACGTGCTAATCAACTTTGTAATGAATATGAATCGCAAACATTTCATGAACAAATTGAAAAACGTTTGACTGAATTGGAACAATGTTGGAAACAATTAGAACAACGTATCGATTCGTTTCGTCAACGTATACGAATCATATTGTCATTGGATAAAATGCATTATGAAACCAATCAATTGATAAATGTATTGGATAAATATCGTGATAAATTTGAACAATTTAATAAACAATTAATGATGACCAATGATAATGATGATCATCAGCTACAACAACAACAACAACAACAACAACAGATGCAACAACAAATGGAAATGTGTAAAATATCTATTATTGGTAAATTAGATAAAGTACGACAAATGAATCAACGTCTAAATGATTATCGTAAAGAAATGACAAATATTTTCATTTGTTGGCCGGATACAGATTCAATCAATGTTTGGCAATGTTTTCGTTCATTTAATTTTGATGATAGTATGATGAAATCATTAAGTCCATTACAAAAACAATCTATAGTGATTATTATTGATCTTTTACGATTTGAAAGAATTGTTTTACTTATGAAAAATTTAGCTGAATCATTGCAGCAACGAATACATCAGGTAGCTATTGAATATAGTGAAAAAGAAGCGAAAAATGAAAATGAAAATGAATCAATCGTGATGATTAACAATCGAATCGATAGTCCAACAACACCGACGGCAAAAGCTGATAAAGTTCGTATTGCAATTGAACAATTTAATACTTGGTTAGCCAAAGTTATAAATCTAGTTGATGAATATAATGATGATGACGATGACGATGACGATAAAGATAATATTCTGGAACAATCAACACACGATGTTGGTGATAGAAAAAATGTTGTTACCATTGTCAATGTGGAACATCATGAACAACAATCCGTTACGGAATTACAAAGACAACAGCAGCAGCCACAGCCACAGTCCGGTTCAAAGTTACGTTCATTTGCCGATCTTGCCAATGCAATCGATGGCCGTATATTAATATTGGCTGATCTACAAAAAACCGTTGATAATGAACAACAAAATTATAGTTTTGCTTGTCGTCGTGCAGCTGAATTTATTTTTGCTGGCCAAAATGATATTGAACAAAAAGAATTGATTGAAATCGAAGATGCAATCATGTCATTGAATTGTAATAATTATGATCAACAAACTGGACAATTGATTAGTTCTATACAATCGTTGATTAAACGTTGGTCATTGTTGTTTGATCGATTCAAAACATTATTACCACAATTAGAAGATATATCGCCATCGATAACGGTGTTGGAAACGGAATTTTCACAATTATTAAAATTCGTCGAATCATCGGATCAATTTCTTGATGAATCCATTGCTATTGGTGACAATGAATCATTGTCATGTCAATTGGCTGAATGTTCACGTCTTAAACAATATATGCAAGGTACGGCTGAAGAAAATTTCCAAACCATTATCGATACAGCACAAAAAGCATTGAAACTTTTACTTGGCAATGATGTATTCTATGATGTTATACCGGTCATACGTTATATTAAACAAACATGGCTTAGTTTATGTCAACGTATTCTGAATAAATTGGATCGTTTGGAACAGGCACAAAAATTAACAATCGATTTGATCAATAATTTGGATGATTATAGACGACGTTTAAATCAATTGGAAAATGAATCACAATTATCCGCTATGGATGATCGTTTAGGGTTGAATGAATCACCTGATTATGATTGTATTGATGAACGATCCACATCAACATCGAAATCGAATAAAATGACAACAACAACAACAATGATGATTTATGATCGTTTGATTTATAATTTACCAACAATTTATTTGAATCGATTGAAACAATTACGTGATGAATATGAACAAAATATTTTAAATGGTGAACAAGCAATCATTATGCAAATGTTATCATTGATAACATCATCGAATGGCAGTAATAATAACAATCAAACATTGGCATTTGAACAGCTATTAACGCAAGCACGAATACAGATTCCAGAGAAAATGGCTCAATTGCAGAATCGATTGGAACAATATCAACATTATTTTAATTATCTAATCGATTCATTACAACAATTGGAACGTTTATTTGATGATGAAAGAAAATTCATTGAATTAATCACCGATGAACAAGAACGGCTACAGCGAAGACAGAAAAATGTTGAAGATTTAGAAGATGCGTCACAATTTATGGATCAAGTTGAAGAATGTATTAATCGCTGTCATAATGATGAACATCGACAATCAAGACGAAAACAAATTGAACAAATATTCACTAATGATTGTCTATTGGATTATTTTCAACATTTGTCCAGTATTTCTCAGATATTTGATAAATATCACATTGAATTCAAAAGTTTATGTCGTTTTGATAAAGATTTCTGCACAAGTTTAGAACAATTAATACAACGTACAGATAAATTTATTGGTCAATGTCGTGAAGCTGATCACATGATTTGTAAAGTACAAGAATGGATTAATCAAAAATCAATCGATATCATCAACAATCAACAAGATGATATGATGTTAACAAATGAATTTGAAATGAAAAGAAAACAATTACTCACTATGCATAATGATTATGGTGAAAAATTTGAAAAATTATCATTCAATGAAGCAACAAAACGATTGCAAAGTAAAGTTTATTTTGTCATCAATATTATGGATGATTTGATCAAACAACAACAACAACAACAACAACAACAAAAAAAACAAATGCAACAGCCAAACAGTATCAATGAAACTGAATCGATTAATAATAAACGTAACATTATCGTTGGCAAATCGAAATCATCATCATCATCATCATTTGGCCATTAATTCCAAAATGAATATGGATTCTGAATTATCAACATTGGAAAAAGATTTAGCTGATTTAGGTTCATCAATCAATGAAATGGAAATAGTATTTGAAACAACAGATAATGAACAAACAATACCGACAATATTGGAACGATTAATCACTGTAAATTGTCGTGAATATGAAACACAATTGTCTGGATTTAAAAAACGTTTTGATTTTATACGTAAAATTGCACAACAAGAAAAATTGAATACATTTCAACAGGGACGTTTAGATTATCTGGATAATACACGTACAGCATTGACAAAATCATTATCATTTCGTGTATCGGTTCTACAAGATCTATCAAAATTATGTCAAGATATTAATGATAATCTTTTGCGATTAGAATCTGAAGCTGATCGTCTTAAATTATTCAATGATGGTGATGATGAATCCAAAAACGTTAATCTAGATGATCAAATGGATTCAATTGAAGTGAAACAAAATTGTCGCCAAATATTATCCGATATATGTGCGTTGAAAGAAAAACTTGATATTAGCTGTATACGGCATTCAGATATACTTATTGGTATTGAAGAAGTTGGTGCTTGTTATGATGAATTATTAACATTGGTTGCTGAACATTATGTTCTCGATGATCAGGATGATCTTGATGATGACCATGATCATCATGATGATGATGATAATCAGAAGGATTCATTTGTCGATGAACAACAGCAGCAGCAACGTATAATTGAATCGGAAGTGAAAAATGAAAATGAAAATGAAAATTCGATGGATGTAGATCAAACGATAATTGATGATAATCAAAGTGAACAACAACAATTGAAACAATCACCAGTGGTTGAATCTGTTGTCGACAATGATGATGAACAATTGATTGAAAATATAAAAATTACTACTACCACGGAATTATTTATGGACACCGTAAAACCATTGGCTGAACGTATGATTAATAATCTACTACTAGGTGAACCAGATATTGATCCAGGTAATTCATATTCATTTCAATCATATCTTTGTACATTGAAACGTTTGGAACAAACAATCGAATGTATTGGACAACGTGATCTGATTGAATTATCGCAACGTAGACAACATAATCCAAATCGTATGTTTCCATTCATGTTGGAAGAAGAATTATATGTACTGAATAAACGTCTAAATCAATGTCGAAGTCAATTGGAACAATTATTATGTATTGCCACTATTACTGGATTAATAACACCATATTCTGGATCATCAATATTGACTAATGATAATCATTGTTCCATACATAAACCATTTGATATTGATGCCAGTGCCAATGATTATTATGCAAATATGGAAATAGAATGGCCAATTGATTGTAATCAGATGCCAACATCATCATTAACTGATGATTGGTCAATCAATATTGATCGATCCATTGATTGGGATCGTTTCTCATGTCAATCAATACAATTATTACATTCATTGGAAACAAAATTTGATCAATCGAATCATACATTTCTTACATTACATCGTCATCTTAAATTAATACACGAAGATACCATGCAATTTAATGTTGAAATACGTAAACTATGTGATTGGTTTGAGAATGTTGAACTACAGATCAATAATGGCCGCATTACAATGATATCGGCTGATCCAAATCGTTTGGATGAAAGTGATTTAAATATGAATGTTGTTGCACGTACACAATCATTGTTGGTTACACAGCTACGAACCCATGTACCAATTTATGGACGATTGAAAGTAATTTATGAACGTATTGTGCGTCATTTTACACCGGAAATGGATAAAAATTTTTGCCATTATTCATTCGATTTAAAAGCATTATTGGATGCAAAAAATCGTATAAAACATGAAATGGATAAAGTAACGAATAAATGGAATTCAATTGTTCATGAATTAACATGGCGTCGTCAATGTTTGATTGATATTGCAATGGCACGATCAACAGCAACCATTAATGGCTATCCATATCGTCGTGGTGATGATATTGATTTTGATAATCTAATCAAAGATGCTGTACGTCATGAATTATTATTGAATAATAATAATACTACTACTACCGATGATTATCATGATACATTACCATTGGAACAATTAGAACAATGGCTACAAGAAACCAATGATGAATTGATTGCTATTCGTATGCAAACAAATATATCTGATAGTAATCGTGATAGTATCGTAACGTTACATCGTAAATTAAAATCAATGGAACAATCAATGGCAAAACAATTTATGAATTGGATGTTATTGACACGACAACCATTTGCCAATAAATTAAATGTAGCTAATCTTGATGAAACGGGACGGAAATCATTATCGAAACGTTTTGAAAATGTATCAATTAATCTTTATCGATTAGCATATTTTGTTGATATGTTTATAACTAGTATGTCAAATATTGGCCATATGATTCGTGGCCAATTGGATTGGCTACTATTGGCATTAGAACATTTGCATTGTGTTGATGATTATGTTATAACAACAACAACAACGACAATCAACAAACGATATGACATTTCCGATTGAATCGATTACATTCCTAGATAATGTTCGTCATACATTAATCAATCATGAACGTATTATTAAACAGATTGAAATATTGATCGATGAATTACATGATCATTGTAAACAAATTCAATTGACAAATTGTCATATGGATCATATGATCGGTGAATTTGCCAAGATAAAAAATCTTTATCAACAATTGGTTAATAATTTACGTAAATATGGCCTAACAGCATCGGCATCGATTCATTATCAGATGAAAAATGCTTATACATATTTTAATTCATATCGTCAACGGAAACAACAACAACAGCAACAGCAGCAACATCAACAACAACATAATAGTAGTAGAAGCAGTAGTAATAGTAGTATTGTAAAAAATTGTGATTGTCGTACAGGAAATAGTAATAGTAACAGCAGTAATAATAATAATAATAATAATACAAATTGGTGTTGCCATTGTGAATATAATCCAAATGAATTAGCAAATTATTATCGTCAATCAACAATACAGCTAAATCAATGGCTTACATTTGAAATATATTTGTTGGATTTATTATTGATTAAAATAACTACTAAAAATGCGACAACAACAACGACGGCGACAACAACAGCAGCAGCAGCAGCGGTGTTGATGCCATCAAATATTCTTAAATTTACAATTCGACGTGCAGAGGTAAGTAAATAACATTTTGTTTGTTTCTATCTATGATCAAATCAGTGATTTCCAACCAATAAGTGTTTTTTTGTTTTTGTATAAAAATATGTTTTTTTTCTGTCATGAAAAACTATAGAAATGGTCAAGTGGAAAAAGGAAAAAAAAATATAGAATGTAGCGACGAGTTGGTTGTAAAACACTGTGCATGTGTGTGTGTGTGTGTGTGTGTGTGATTACTACTCTATGATTATGTTTTTGTTTTTTTAGTTTAATAATTGATAATAATGATTATAATGGATTCACTGGATCACACACACACACACACACACACTAAAGCTTTAGTCAGAATCTTTCTGTCTTTCTGAATCTAATGATGATGATGATGATGATGATGGTTTACTGGTCGATCCATTTGGAATAGATTCGGCCCATAATGATAACCATATATTTCATATATTTGTTTTTTTTCATTGTTGTAATGGTGTATATTATCAATTTTATAAACTGATTATGCGCTACAAGCATAAAAAAAAACAAACTAAGAGATAGATGAATGAATGAATGAATGATGATGATGATCCAAATATATCTATATATAAAATACACTGATGGATGATGATTATTGAGAGGGGATGGATGTGGTGGGGGGGGTTATGGGCTACCCAAAAAATTATCAATTTAAGCTATGTGTGTGTGTGCCAGTGTAAAATCATAAATTGTTGTTGCCATTGTCGTTGTCGTTGTTGTTGTTTTTTTTTCTGATGAAAAAATGGGAAAAAAAAATCAATTTTGTATTTGATTCAATTGAATTTTTTTTTTTTTTTTTTAATTTTATAAACTAAACACACAACAGACGATATATATACACACACACGCACCAAAATACAGACATATTATTGCATATATATATCAACGGCAAACACCACCACCACCATTATCATCATCATCATCATCATAGAGGTCCACCACTACAACAACAATTCAAATATAAATGAAAACAAAAATAAAAGTTTGAAATTGATCATCATCTATATAATTTAGCCATTTCAACAGAATGAATATATCAACAGAAAAAAATGATCATTATCAAATAGATACAAATGGTGGTGGTGGTGGTGGTGGTGGTGGTGGTGGTTGGTTGGTTAGTTAGTGGAACTTTATTCGGGTTCTCTCTCTCTTTCGTTATCCTGAAACCTAAACCAGAAAAAAAAATTATATTCGTTTATTTGGCGTCACATATGTGAATTTTCATCATCATTTAGTGGTAGTGGTAAATGTCCGATTTTTTTCCATATATAACATTTGATTCGGGCGCCATTATTATCATTTTTTTTTCTTTTCTTCATATTATTGAAAAACAAAAAGAAAAAAATTTTTTTTTGTTTGGTCGAATTATTTATTTAGATCATTTGTTTCCAGCAGCAGCAGCAGCAGCGACTCAGATTCATTCGATACGTGTGTGTGTGTGTGTGTTTCTTGTGTTCTTTTGAATGTTTTCTTTGATCGTTTGTTTTTTTTCGGCTTTCAACTGGCAGTAAAAATTATTTTGGAACCATAGATAGAACACAAATGTTCCACCAATGTGTGTGTGTGTGTGTGTGTGTGTTGTACCATAAAGAATTTTTTCTTTTCATTTTGAAACCTGGTAGAAAAACATTCAGCAGCTATTCTGTGTCTGTATGTGTGTGTGTGTGTATGAATTTGAACTCAATTATGTTTGGGTTCAAATTTTTTTTCTTCTCATTTTTCGCCGAAAAAAAAATTCTGGGCTCAATTTTCACCACACACCACACATACATACACACACACACACACTTACACAGGCTGACCATTTAGTCCATACTTTGTGTGGTACGTGTGTGTGTGTGTGTATGTCTATCGCATGTTAGTCTTGTGATTTTTTTTTGTTTGTTTCTTAATAGATTTGATTGATTTGATTTGATTCATGTATTTTGTTTGTACAAATTTGTATTTTCGATAATAATTTTTTTTTTGCTTTCCATTATACACCCACTCACTCACACACATACACACAATCATCATATATAGGATTTACTTACCGAGCTACATTTTTCCGTATTTATATTACAACAAATATGGCTACAATTATCAACAAATAATGAACATATCATCATCATCAATAATCAATCGACAATCAATCAACAACAAAAATCACAGCAAATAATTAATAAACAATCAATTAAATTGAATCGTACACAATCTATATCTACAACAGCAGCAGCAGTAGCAGCAGCTACTGACCACAATCATCATAATCATCATAATCGATTTCAACAACAAAAATCATCAACAAATCAATCATATCTTCATCATCATCATCCTATTGATAATCATGATGATGATGATGATGATGAAGGTGATTTATATGATTCAAAAAAACGTTTCAATTCATTAGAACCACATCAACGGCGGCGACGACGGCAACAATTGCCAAAAATAACACGTATTATCAATGGTCAATCTTCAGTTATTGAATCATCATCATCATCAATTAATGTTAAATTAATAGCACCAGATATTAATTATTATAATCATATCGAACAGACAATCATGGAACGTATGCGTGAAATACAACGTGAACATCATCAACGTTCATTACAGCAATTATTATTGGCTAAACAACAACAACAACAACAGCAACCAGCAGTGGATATTGATAAAAAAGTGGACAATGTTTATGATACAGTTGCCGATGTAATAATGACGACGAATAAATCCCATATTGTGGATAGTAGTAGTAGTGGTTATTATAATCGTCCAATTGATTTGCCTGAAGTTTCAAATCATTCAAATCTAGATATGCAAAGACAAGATATTGAACAATGGCTTGATTCAATGGAACAACGTTTAGCCAATATTAGTGTTAATAATAATAATCAACAATCAAATGGACAAAATAATGGTAATAAAACATCGATTATTGAATCAAAAGATTTTAAATCACAATTATCCATTTTATCGGTAAGTTGATCGATAATAAAAAAAAATAAATTCTAAATTAAATTCAATTTTTCTCATTATTTTCCATATTCTTAATCATTTAGGATTATGAAAGTGAATGTAATCAATATAGTTGTCGATTACAAACATTATGTAATTCGATCGATGCTCGTATAGCATCATTAACACCATTAAAATTGAATGAAAAAGGTCAACCACAACAACAACAACAACAACAACAACAATCATCATCATCATCATCAACATCGACACCGACAACAGCATTGATTAATAGTAATAACATATCGATGCCCTATTATGAGCATTTGATCAAACTTCGTAAACAAGCTAGTGATATGCAATGTCGTAGTAATTATCTATATTTATGGTAAGTGTTATTTGATCCGATTTTTATTTGTTCAAAATTTTTTTTCACTAATAATCATCATCATATCTTATTTATTTTATATTGTAGTATTAAATGTAAAACACGAAGTCTAAATGAATTATTATCATTAACATCGTCTTCCTCGAATCGTAATCTTTTAATGTCAATGGTGAATGGTGGTTCATCATCCGGTACCGAATTAGGTGATTGTTTGTTTTTTTAATTTTGAATTTTGAGAAAATTTTTTCATTCTGTTTCAATTAATTTTTTTATTTTTTTTTTTTTCCTTTTAGATAATTACGGTACACAATCATCGAAAAAGTCTTCCAAATCAATTTCATCAATTAAATCATCATCGATTACCGGTGGTGGTAGTGTTAGTGGTGGTCAAATGACCACCAATAATACATTATTATCAAATGATATGGCAACAACAGCCACATCACAACAACAAATGATGAATCAATCATCATCAGCAAATAATAATTATAGCCTTCATGAACAATCAGAAAAACGATTCAATAAATGGTTGGCTGAAATGGAACAATCATTGGATTTTATTGAAAAAGGATTAGCAGCTGAAAGTGCACTTATCAATATTAATCAGGATGGATCAATAACAAATTTCAATACAGATGATACAGCTCTTTATAGTAATGTTTCGGAAATGCAACAGATGCATATGAATTATTATGAAAAGATTAAGGTAATGGTCATTTTTTTTCTATTGATCAATAATCGATAATTGCCATTAAAAATAAATTCTCCACATTCATTTATTCACAGATAATACAAAGAGAGATTGAACAAAAACGAACTGATCATCGATTATTGATGGAACTATTGGAGAATCTTCCTACAAATGATTCAAAAATATCAGCAACAACAACAGCATCATCATCATCATCGATTGGTAATCGGCAACAACAACAACAACAATCGATTGATCCATGGTTAATACGATTTCGTAATCGTGTTGAACAAACAAATAGCCGTTGGAATAGTGTTAGACTTCGTGTATTAACATTACGTTCACGATTAGAATCAAGTTCATTTGTTAGTAAATCAACGACAACTACATGTCCGGTACCTGTTAGTCATTCAACAGCATCATTATATTCGGTTATTCAAAATAATAACGTTATTACTGGTGGTGGTATTCATAATAACGATAATGAATCAATAATGGCTACAAATACGGCCAATATTGCTTATAATGTTGTTATTAATGAACGTGCAACACAATTGGTTTTATCATTACGTGAATTAACCGAATGGATCATTAAAAGACAAATGGAATTTCAACAGAAACAACAAATATCACATTATTCTGATGGTGGTGATGTAGTAGTAGCTAGAGAATCAAAAGAAAATGTACCATTAGATATTGCAAATGTTTTGCAACAAAAATCATCATTACTACAACTTCGAAATCAATTAATAGAAAAACGACCAATTATTGATAGTAGTCTATTATCATGTCATAATTTTCTTCGTCGTCTTGGTGTTAAAAGAGCACATGATGTACAACGATTTGGTGGCAATGCTCGTATGTCAGCATCAGCATCGATGGCATCATCGATTGCCGGTTCATCAATTATCAATAATGATCAACAACAACAACAACGTCGACAACAACAAAATGGACAACAGATTGAAAAATTAGAAATATCATTGAATCGTGAAATGAACAAATTATTAGAATTATGGCATTCAGTGCAAAGTACTGTTGATCTTGGTTTACAACGTTTGGATGAAGCACATCTGGTAAGTCGATTGTTTGTTTGGTTAAACTTTGAATACAAAAAAATACAATGCAAAATTGTGAATTGTGAATTTTTAACACTTAAATTGCCACTATTGAAAGTATTATGTAAATTTTCTTTTCCTTTCTGTCTCTTCCTTTTGGGGACAAACTGGAAAATTTTTTTTTTTTTTGTTTTTGAGGATGAATATATGTCATTATCAGTCATTTTTTTCCTCCTTTTTTTCCATTGTATTGTATACAGTTGTGTGTGTGTGTGTGTGTGTGTAAGTGGTTATCGGTGTGTTTTAGCATCTAAAACCTTGAATCAAAAAAAAAAAAAAAAAAATGTCGGTCTATGGTTTTCAAAATGGTGCTCAACACATGGTCGATATGTGTTTTTGAGAGAAAGAGAAAAAAGATTAAAATTTCTGTGTAGTCATGTTATTGTGATGTGATGTGATGATCTACATTTTTTTTTTCTTCACTCAGTTTGTTTGAAGGATTTTCACTAATTTTTTTTCTGGTGGTGGTTGTTTGATTGTCATCACCATATAGAGAATATGATGATGGAAAGAAAAACCAGAGAGTAAAAAAAAAATTGATCCAACATACGCACGTCATCAATATAACGTATAACAATAACAAATAGACACATGTGGCAGTATATAATAATCCATTGTTATTGTTATATGTTTGTGATTGATTTTTTTTTTTTTGTTTTATTGCTATATTTAACACTTTAGATTCTATATAAACATATATATTCTTTTGATTTTTTTTTTTCTGCAGACAAACATCAGTATGTTTTTAGCAAATAAATAAACAAACATCATTTTGCCGTGTGTGTGTGTGTGTGTGTGTGTGTGTGTTTGCGGGTGGGTGGTTTTTCTTTTTTTTTTTTGATTGTTATTTGATACAAAAAAATTTGCCAAAAATAGCTACAACAACAAGTGAAAGAAAAGAAAAAAAAATTCAGAAACCCAAATTTTCGGGTTCTCACTATATAAACAACTGGTTTATTGAATCAGCCATCCATGTATATATATATAATAATAATAATTTGTTTATTCTTGATTCATATTTTTTTTCTCAATTCCGTGTCTCTGTGTCTGTGTGTTTGTTTGTTAGAAAGACAGACATGTGAATTTTATTCATTTCAACGAAAAGATGAAGGGTCAAGATTTATTTTTTATTCCGTTGTTTTTCATTTTTGATTTTTTTTTTTTTTTTTTTGATTAAATCGATTAAATATCAATACCGATGATTAATGTTTCATTCATTTGTGTGTGTGTGTATGGCTGTGTGCCAAGTGTAAGAATATCATCATGTAATTCAAATCAATCAGTCATTGATCTAGTCATCAAACGTATCTCATACATTGTGGTTTGTGTGTGTGTGCGCGTTATTTGTGATCATTAATCAGTGTGATATTTACAACAAACGAACAAACAAAATGATTTCAAATGCAAATCAATGCAATTCATCAATAATGAACATGAATCACATTTTTGTTCATCATCATTATAGCCGTAATAGAAAATGGCCAAATAATTTGATTGTAAACAATGAAAAAAAAACTGATATACACACAGAACACACACTATTTTAATTGACAATCAAATCAAATCAAATTAATTTTTTTTTCGTGTTTATTAATTTGTTTTTTTGTTTCCCCCCCCGGTCACTCTAATAGCGATTAACTGATCTACAACGTGTTATGGATGATTTAGCCGCTAAATTACATGAAGCTGAAATGGTCAAATCAAAATGGACACCAATATCGAATATAACATTCGACGATTTACCTCAACAAAGATCTCAATTGAAGGTAATCATTGGTTCATGTTAACCCACTTTCTTAATTGTTTTTTTATATTTTAAATTAGACATACAATCAGATGTATGTAGCACCGGTATCTCGTGATGTGATTCATGTGAATGAAATTGCTGCTCGTTTAACTGGCCGTAATGTACCGTTATCACATGGTAATCTTAAATCATTAGAAGAAGTAACTACACGTGCCCGTCTATTACGTGTGGCCATTGATGAACGATCACGTGAATTGGATCAAATTCAACATGATCATGGTACGGCCCAACAACATTTTCTTACCGAAGCTGTCGATGAACCTTGGGAACGTGCTGTCACTAATAATAAACTGCCTTGCTACATCAAGTAAGTACACATCTTCACTTTTTGTATATTGAATTTAATTCTTTTTTTTCTGTTTTTGTTATAGCCGCCAAACTGAAACTGTACATCTTTTTTCACCACGTTATACAGAAATTATTGATTCAATGAATGAATATAATGAAGTACGTTATGCTGCATATCGTACAGCAATGAAATTAAGACGATTACAAATACAACTTGGTCTTAATAATGTTAATTTAAATAATCTTGCCAATGCATTTGAACAACATGGTGTCGGTCCTAATGGTGGTGGTGGTGGTGGTAAAAATAAATCTACGATGATGAAAAATGATAAATCCACCACTAATTCCAATGATTCATCTGCTAATAATAATAATGATAACAACGCTAAAAACAACAAACAAGAATCAACAACAACCAATAACCATGAAGATGGTATTAATGATGAATTACCATATGAACTTCGATTGATTGCTGTACCAGATATTGTATCCTGTTTGAAACAAATATTTGAAACAGCTGAAATGGAACGACAACAACAACATAATAAACAGGAACGAACATCATCAAGTAACAAAAAACAGCAACAATCATCAGCAACAAAAGATAAAGAAAATAGCAAAACAATGGCCAATAATAATAATGATGATCATTCCAAATCATCATTATCAACATCAACATCGTCATCATCATCAGCGGCCATTAATGTGCCTCTTTGTGTTGATTTATGTCTCAATTGGCTACTAGATCTTTATGATGCGTATGTTTTATTTTTTGTTTTGTTTTGTTTCGATGACTCGAATCTATTTTTATTCAAATTTTTTTGTTCTTCCGAAAAAAGGCCTTCACGTGCCGGTTTTATACGACAATTTTCATTCCAAGTTGCCCTGGTACTTTTGTCACACATATCATTGGAACAGAAATATATTTGTAAGTTTTTTTTTCTCAAATCATTTCTGTTTTGATGATTTTTTTTCGAAACAATTTTTGTTCTAAAGATTTATTCAATTTGATTGCCGATGAAAATCAACGTGCCGATGAACGACGTTTCGGTCTGTTAATCTATGATTGTCTTCGTTTACCAAAATTATTGGGCGAAGTGGCCGCATTTGGTGGCACAAATGTTGAACCAAGTGTTCGTAGTTGTTTAGAGATGGCATCGGCATCTGGTTTACGGCCACCGAATGGTTCCGGTATCACTGTAGATCAGGTATTGGCATGGATACGTGCTGAACCACAATCATTAGTATGGTTAGTTGTATTACATCGATTACGATTGGCTGAAAGTAGTCGCCATCCAGCTAAATGTAATAGCTGTCGACAATATCCAATTCAAGGTTTTCGTTATCGTTGCCTAAAATGTTTTAACTTTGATCTATGTCAGTATTGTTTTCTATCCGTCAATTCGGTTAAAAAACATAAACCATCGTAAGTGATTCTTTTTGCCGTCGTTATTGTTTTGAATAAATCTAATTTTTTTTTCTCTCTTTCTCTTTCTTTATAAAGACATCCAATGCAAGAGTATTGTGTAGCCACTACGTCAAAAGAAGATATGCGGGATTTTAGTAAAATTCTTCGAAATAAATTCAAATCTGGCCGTTATTTTAAACGCCATCAAGCATTAGGTTATCTACCTGTACAATCATTACATGAAGGTGATCGATTAGTGGCTGAAGAATCGGCACCATCATTTGTTCATACATTACATGGATCATATTCACATGCACCATCATCAAATACAACACCGGTTCATACGTTGTCCTATCCACAACGAGCTGCTAGTCCTGGTTCTATGACCACTAAAAGAGATTTAGATTTTATGGTTGATTCACGTTTTGTTCAAAATAATAATAATTCACTTCATCAACAACAACAACAACAACAACATCATTACACACCAATTCGACCTGGTCCATTACCGCCATTACCGGTGAATACGAACAACACTGTTGTTGGTATCTATGGTACACGGCCAATTCATCAACAAAAATTACAACAGTTAACACCACGAAAACAGTTGCAAACATCTGCGGAACATCATCATCATCAATTAATGGCCGCTAATCAATCACCATTATCTGGACATCGAATTACACCAACCACCACTATTACATCATCAACATCATCAAATACAGTTGGTGATCATAATCAATTTGTACGAATGTCACCATCACGTTCTAGTCTTAAATCTAATGATGATATACATCAACGTCTTGGTAAATATGCAAATCGATTAGCCGAATTAGAACATCAACAGCAACGACAAAATAATCAACATCAGTTATTGAATCGTAGTGAATCACTTCGATCTGGACGTGCTTCACGTTCAAGTAGATTTGATTCATTACCACCGGTAGCAATGCAAGCAGCATTGCATCAATTACCTCCACATCATCCACATCGTCGTAGTTCATTAAATCATCCAACTGCTGCTGGTGGTGGTGGTGGTGAACGTCATCATAATCAGATTATGATTGGTCATCATCAACAACAGCAAAAACAATTTCTATTAACATCAGCACCACAACCAACAATACAAAGTCCAACGGAAATGTTATCGAAAATAGCTGCAGATCAACGTAATGAGCTTGAAATTATAATACAACGATTACAAGAAGAAAATCGGTTAGTTTGTTTTGGAAATTTTCTATTTATAATGAAAACTTTTTTCTATTCTATTTTCAAATATAGATTATTGACGAATGAATATAGCCAATTGAAAGATAAAGATGATGATGATGATAATTATAAAAATAAATCATCGAATGATCCAACAACAACAAAAAGAACAACTATCAAGAATGAATCGATAAATAATAATAATAATACTATGGAAACAAAATCAAAAACAATAAACAATCAAATTGAATTGAATGATAAATCCATAATGACCAATGGTAGTGGTCGTCGTAGTGGTAATAATAAAACCGATTTAACACCTTCACCGACGTCATCATCACAAGCATCACCAAATTCACCGGATAATAATAATACAACAACAATAACCATCGCGGATAATCAGCAACCACAATCAACATCATTACCATCATTTTGGTTGGATGAAGTACGACGATTAAAAAATGATCGAAATCATCTTGAAACAAGAAAATTTGAATTGGAAAAATGTAATAAATTATTGGAATTACAATTGAATCAATTTAAAACTTATATCAACACCACTGGTACATTGGATGAACGTACGAAACAAAAATTAGAGAATCGTATACAGGAAGCAGAAAAACTTCTCGATGAACAGCAACAACAACAACAACAACAACAGCTGAGTGATCAGAATCGAGATGATTCATCATCGTCGATAAAAAAATTACCTAAAAATCAAACAACAACAGCAGCAGACATTTTAAAATTTGATGATGACGATGGCTATGATGATGAGAATAAAGAATCGAATAAATCAATAAAAAATAGCCAATTATCGTCAACCACATATCATCAGCCATTATTACATACGGCAGCTGATCGTATAAATAATGCAATGGAATCATTGGTAGATGTATTGAATCAAAACGATAATAATAATGATGATGATGATAGAGAATCATCAACAAATGGTCATTTTAAAAATGGTAAAACAACAACAACATTATCGATGACAAATGGTCAACAACAACAACAATCATCGGCAGCAGCAACAACAACGGTAGCTACTAACAAACATTCAAGTCGTGTTTAAAATTTATCAAAAAAATAAAAAAAAACTAACACAAGAAGAAAATGTCACATTCACAATCAATATTACAACATATCTTCAAAAATTATCATTGGAAAAAAAAATTATGCATATCGTGCCCTTATCAATCAATCAATTATTGACCACACACACACACACAGCCACACCACCCACATCCAAACACAAACACACACACACAAGTACGGATTAAGTGAATTGTGAACGGATTAGAATTAAGAACGATCATTTTTTTCTCTTCTTCTTCACCTCCTAATATTAGTGATGTGATTATTTTACATTTTATTTATTATTCATGAATATTTCATAATTGTGACCATTTTTTTTGTTGTTGTTATTCGGTGTGTGTGTGTGTGTGTGTGTGTTTGTATGTACTTTTGTGTTTGCAATCAATCAATATAATCAATCAATTTTCGGTGTTTAAATCAGAAATCAATGCAATCAATTTCATCACATGTTTTTTTTTCTTGTTGTTATTGCTGTTGCTGTTGCTATTGCTATTGCTATTTATCGATAAAATGAGAATGTTCATGATAGGTTTTTTTTCTATTATTCGGTGATGATACACACACACACACCCACACACAAACAAACCAGCATACATTATTATAAAGATAATCATCATTATTATTAATATAGACCACACCAACACACATAAACATACACCGACAACGATTCTTGCATTTTTTTCATTTTTTACCATTTTTTGTTTATTTATTCGTTGTGTGTGTGTGTGTGTGTGGATAGTATTCACCACCACCACCAAACAATACACACACACAGACACATACCCTGGATTACTAAAAGAATATTCTTGACCACCAATGTTTCAATTTGATAAACATAAGCACACGCATTTACATTTTTGCATTTTTCAATCAGAGAAAAAAAACAAAAATTCATTTTGCATTTCGTAATTACGATTATTTCCATTTTCATTTATTCATTCATTTATTCATTAATTTTTTGTCATTTAAATTCAATTTTGAAAGTTTAAAAATAAAACAAAAAAAAGAGCAAATGCAAATGGTCAACCATATATTCTATTTCATTTCATTTCAATTGTCACCAAGAAAAAAGACAAGCAAAAAAAAATTTTGAAAAAAAAGAAAAGCGAAACATACAGATTTCATTCTGCTTTCGTCTTTTTTTTTTGCATCCATAAATATTGCCGAGATAAGAATGGAAAATTTTCAACCGGAAAAAAAACAATCGACGACAACAACAAAATTGAAACAAAATAATTTGGAATTCGAAACACAAAAAACAATCGATGATGAATATCAATTGATGAATATATAGGATTACATTGTAATTAAATAGTCTGTGTGTGTGTGTGTGTGTGTGTGTATGAATGTATGATGTATAGAATTATTGGATTTCAAAACTGCTTGGTAATAATAAAATTTTTTTTCGTTTTCTATTTTATTCTATTTGATCGATGTGTTGACAACGCCAACAGCAACAGCAACAAAAACAATAGGGATGACAATCAACAAAAACAATCGTCATTCATCAATTGTGTTGTTGAAAACCATTAAAAATTTGAAAATTGAATTTGATTTGAGACTTGTGAATCATGTGTGTGTGTGTGTGTGTGTAATGCGATGAAAATCACGCCAATTAATCAATGAAAAACAAAAAACAAAAATGAGTCATCAAAAATCCAAAAACAAATCTACCCGTGTGTGTGTGTGTTTGTATCTATTTTGATTTTTTAATTCGATTGCCAGAAAATAAACCAGAAAAAAAATCAATCCCAATTTAAATGTGTGCCGATTTATGAATGGGCAAGGTCAATTTTAATTTTTTTTTTATTGTTTCCATGAAAAAAACCATATTTTATGATTTCTCTTGGTTGTCTGATGGTTGTCTTTTTTCTCTCCATTGTTTTCATCGTCGTTATATAACCACACACAAATCATCATCATCATCATCATCATCATCGATCAGATTATGTGAATTTTCATTCTGCAACCAAAAAAAAAAACAAAAAAACAAAACAGACACAGACATTTCATATATAAAAAATTGGTATTCAGGCCAGTAATAATCATCATCATCATCATCATCATCATTTTGTGAATAACCAGGCGGTTGTCTTTTATGTTTTATTTTTTTTACAACGAAAAGAAAAAAATCGACAAACCAAAATTCAAATTCAAAAATTGAATTTTAAACCCAGCACACACACACACACACACAAAACAGAAAAACTGGGCCGCCAACAAGATTTGGTTTGGTTTTGTTTTGTTTTTTTTTTAAATTTCTTGTTGTGTAATTTTTTTTTGTTTTATTTTGAAAAAAAACTGGTAACAACTAGTTCATCATCATCATCGTCTGTGTGTGTGTGTGTGTGTGTGTGTGTGTGTGTATGTGGAAAACAATCAAACGAGAAATCGGCTATTGATGGATTCGTTGCTGTTGTTGCAGACCAATTGGCTTTTTTTTCATTTCTAATTCGTTCGTATATACTACTGTTTGTTGTCGTTGTCGAAGTGTATGTGTTGTTTTTGGATTTCGAAATTCATTTATTTTTTCGTTTATCCAGTGTATTCTGGTGGTGTGTTGCACGTTGAATACGTTTGTTTTTTTCACTTGTTGTCTAATCTCTAATTCCCATATTTTTCATCATAAAATAAATTGAATATTCGTATTGAGAAAAAAAACCGGATATTCAATGTGTGATATATTGTGACGTCATTCGAATATATATATTTTTTTTTGTTCTGTTTGGCTGGCTTGCTTGCTTGCTAACACGTTGGTATGTAAATTTTTCTATTTTTTTTATCGACATAAAAAAAATAGAAATAACGTGAAATCATTTGAATGAAGAAAACGAATTTTTTTTTTGTTTCATTTTCATCTTCACTTTACTGATCAATGATCATTGAGTGATTGATCGAAGGATGATGAGCTTTGATCATCGAACAACGGCAGTCAAAAAAAAAAAATATCGATAGGAAATAAATGTGTATGTGTGTGTGTGTGGGTGGGTGTGTGTAAGTATCATTGACGTTTGATTATCATCATCATGATATATTTTTTGGTAGCAATAATAATAATAACATAAATTATACCAGAAAAAAATAATCAAAACAAATCCCTAAATGGAGAGTTTTGTCAATTTTTTTTCTCTCTTTTTTTGTATGTTTTATTTATTTATTTATTTTTTTTTTTGAAAATGAAAAAAAAACGATGATGATAAAATTCAATGTCCGATCGATCGATCGATCGGTTGATTTTTGTTCAACCATCAAAGGTCAGGTCAGGTGTTGAAAGAAGAAATTTAATAAGAAAAAAAACCCAAAAGTGAGATAGTGAAAAGTACTCCAGGAACAACAAAACAAAAACAAAAAAATAAAAAAATGTGGATAAATGAATTCACACTGCTGCACACTTCGATACACTGTGTGTGTGTGTGTATTATTATTGATCGATCATCAATCGATCGATCGATTTTTTTTCTTGTTTCATTATTTGATGAATGCGTCATTATATTGAGAAATTTCTTTTTCATCATCATCATCACTACAATTTATTTTATCAAACGATAACAAATTAAATTGTCAACGATAGCAAACAAAACGCACACACAGACACACACACACACACACACACACACACACGAATTGTTCAAAAATCAAATGATTTGATTTGATTCAATTCATGAATTTCATTCATGTTATGTATAGAGATAATGATAATGAAAAAAAAAATTTTTTTTCAATTTCCATTCAAAATTGCAATAACCGAACAAAAAATTTTTTTTTTTTATCATAATGATGACCATGGAATCGTTGTATCCGCATCCGTCCTTGTTTGTTGTTTACAATTGATCATCATTGTTATTCGATAATTTGGTGATTGATTGATTAAATTTTTGATATTTTTTTTTTGTCGACTTTGGAATCAAATATCGAATAAAATAAATTTTTTTTTCTCTCATGCTTTTCATCCAATTCATTATCAATATATTATAATATATTGGCAATTCAGCAACTGACAAATACGGCAATTGCATTTTTTTTTCGTTTTTCGTTTTGGTTTTGTTTTGTTTTTTTTTTTTTTTTTTTTGAATGTCACCATTAAAAAAAAAACAATGTACGTACGTACACACTGTCAATTTTTTTTTTTATTCTTCTTTTTCTTTCAACTCGTAAATGCCGGTTTTCATTCGGTGCTTTTTTTCCCATTATATTCTTGTAATAATCATTTGCTGTTTTGTCAATGAAAAAAATTAAAAAAAAAAATCAGACAGACACAAACGCGCATAGACATTGAAGATATTTCAAGACATTGCAGCAGCAGAGGCAGCAGTATTCGTTTTATCTATATAGATAACCATAATATATACATATATTATGAATTTTTTTTTTATTGACTTTTTGGCAAACTTTTTGTACGCGTTTAAGAATTTTTTTTTTTTTTTCTTTTCGCTATAGCCAGCTTGTTATGTGCTAGCCGTTCATATATCACACACAAACTTTTTCATCTTTTTTTTTTCGTTTTCTCGAATAAAATATTGATGCTACTACAAGAACGACTAAAAAAAAAAAAAAAAAAATTTTACGGCTACCCATTCATTTTATATATGATGATGATGATGATTACCAATTTAGTAAAATATAATACACTGAATGAATGAAAAGCGGTATGAATGAAAAGATGTGCGTATATTGTGTGTGTGTGTATACATTTATTTGTACAACGTCTATATATTCCCTATGGTCTCCTCCTTTTTTTTTTTATTTAGCTATGGCCATTTCTTTTTTTCTCTTTATCTTTTTTGGTGCATGAATAGGATCCATGTTTTTTATATATACATATATTATGAATTTTTTTATTGACTTTTTGGCAAACTTTTTGTACGCGTTTAAGAATTTTTTTTTTTTTTTTTTTTCGCTATAGCCAGCTTGTTGCTAGCCGTTCATATATCACACATAAACTTTTTCATCTTTTTTTTTCGTTTTCTCGAATAAAATATTGATGCTACTACAAGAACGACTAAAAAAAAAAAAATTTTACGGCTACCCATTCATTTTATATATGATGATGATGATGATTACCAATTTAGTAAAATATAATACACTGAATGAATGAAAAGCATGTGCGTATATTGTGTGTGTGTGTATACATTTATTTGTACAACGTCTATATATTCCCTATGGTCTCCTCCTTTTTTTTTTTTTTTTATTTAGCTATGGCCATTTCTTTTTTTTCTCTTTATCTTTTTTGGTGCATGAATAGGATCCATGTTTTTTTTCATTTTTCATCATTATTATTTCTGCTATATAAATATTTTCACATACACACACAAACTCTGCTACAAATGCAATTGATGATAATGATAATGATGATGATGAACAAACGTGCATATATATGTTGTTGAAAAATTATATAAAAAGCACATGCACATTGGTTGTGTGAATTTATATATGTGGTGTTTATACATCGATACAAATTTTATTTTTTCTTCTGTCTTACAAATTTTATTAATGAATCTCAATGAATGAAAAATACGCAACGAAATATTTGAAGAAAAATTTTCAAGCGAGAAAAAGAGAAAAAAAATTTTGACTTTTAATGATATATTAACTGTTACCATTTTTTGTTGTTTTCAAAAACCGTTTTTCTTTTCAATATATTCGTGAGATAACCAATCAATAAATCATCGAATTGAATTTCAGTTTTTTTGTCTGTTTATTCGTGTTTTTTTTTAAATTTCTGGCTCAATCTTTTATTTTGTGTGTCATCATCTATTTTTCATTCTTTCTGCTATTTTTTTTTTTTTTTTTTTTGGTTTCGATTTTTTTTTGCTGTTTAGCACAGAATTGATTATTATCCATTGATATAGGTATCCCGGTAAGTGTTTTGTTGTTGTTGTTAATTTGAATATATCAAACTCATGATTAATCAATCAAACTAATTTAAAAACAATCAAACAATCAAAAAAAAACACAGGAGATGAATACAAGCCTCAAAGGTCTAGTGCTGCTGCAAAAGTGTATCCAAAGGCTTCACGCTTCGATCCAGGTAAGTTTATTATTATTATTTTTCGCCTTTATTTTTGTTTTTTACTCACACACGTTTACGTTTGTTGTATTACACTTTAAATTGTGTGTGTGTGTGTACAAGCACAAACACAACAAGCATTTCGGCATGGTATATATTTTTTTGCATCAATGATTCTGACCATTATGCCATCTTTTGGTTGCCGATGTTTTTAAATTTTTTTCTACATCAAGAAATTGTGCAATGCTGTTGTAGCTAAAATGAAATCCTGGTGAATGAATGAATGAATGAATGCCAAAAAAATGATAATGAAAATCCAGAAAAAAAATTGAATTGAATTGAAGGTCAAATTGTATATATAAAATTCTCTTTATGTTCATGATATTTTGGCATTGGCCTTTAAAAAAAATGAAATGAAATGAAATGAAATCCTTCAGATAAAATCAATTGCATTGCATACATAAAATAGATTTGAGAATAATGATAATGATCGTTTTTTTTTCATTGATTTCAATTGACATTTAAATAAATCAATCAATGATAACAAATCTTGAAAATTTTGATTCGGACTATTGGCCAAGAATGCCGTATTGTTGTTGTATATGTGTGTGTGTGTGTGTGCGTAAAAGTAACTCAACGGTAAATTGTATCATGGTTGTTTCATCGTATTCATGTTATTTTCTCTTGTTTTTTTTTGTTGGTGGTGGTTGCCATGATTCATTATATGAACACAAGTGTCATAAAAAAAATGATGATTGATATTGTGATATGTATAAATATAAAAGACATCCGATTTTTTTCTGGTTATGATATTTGTCGTGACGACAACAAGAAATAGCTGGAGAAAAAAAAAGATTAGTTTTGGATAAAGGTTATTATAAATAGAAACATTTGCGAATTGAATACGAAAATGGATGATGATGATGATGATGATGAGGAGGAGGAGGAGGATGATGACTTGTGTTTTGTTTGTTTATTTTTCCTGTTATCTAACTGTTATTTTCCTGTTTCCTTTGTGTCACTATATATATATATATAGGGCTTAAGCCAACAAGTGCACTATTACCTGGTCGCAAATATTGTTGTTGTTGTTGTTGTGGTTTTCGTCGTAGTCGTCGTCGCTGTTTCGCTTACCACATTGCGGCCAGTAATAATAATTCGACGATTAAACGTCGAAACATCAGTAAAAGCAGCATCAACAGCAGCAGCAACAACAACAAAAGAATCAGCAACTTTTGTATTATTGGCAGCAATAATCATAAAAACAGCAGCAACAAAAACATTAACTGCCGGCAACGACAACTACGATAATCCTTATTATTCGGATCTCATTTCACATCAAGCATCACCAGGTAAAATTTTAAATAAATAAATAAAAAAAATTCCAATTCATTTTTTTTTCTTCACAAACAGAAGCAGCAGATTGAAGAATACGAATCAAATAAACAAGAGAAAGAAATATCTGGATGGAAATTAGGTACTGAATTCTTAATTGTTTTTCTTTCAAACAAACAAAACGAATGCTGTGGCACTGGTAATAATCCAACAACAGGAAAAAAAATTTAACCTTTTTTTTGTGGAACATATCTTACATATAAAAGCTTTAAAAAGCTGTAAGCAATCAATTGATCGATCGAATGAATTGTGCCCATATCATTGTGCATTGTGATATATATATATATTTGAAAGAAGAAATAACGGGATTAAGGAAAAAAACCGATAATCCAATTTGTTTTTGTTATTTATATCGCTTTTAATAATATCACCTCTCAAAGTAAGTGAAAGAAAAAAAAATGAAAAATGTAAAGAAATATTTTTCTCATCAACATCTCGTGATCAATGTACAGTTAATCATTCAATTGTTTTTTTTTTGTATTTTTGTGTGTGTTTGCTTTATAGGAAACCAACAGCAGCAGCCAAAGCAGTCAGAATGGAAAGTTGTAATTCAAGACAAGGATTGCTGTTAAAATCATTTTCAGCAAATAGTGATTTTAGTGATGATTATCATCAATCACAAATCATCAATAATAATGACAATGTGCCACAAATTTGTCTTGATAATTATGGATCTTCGGATATTACCAGTAATGGTGGTGATGGTGTTCAAAGTATTGATGGTGTAACAACATCAACATCAACAACAACATCAACGACTGCAGATACAGGTCCGGCAAAATTTTTTATTGGTGATGGTGATGAAACCATGACGGTATCAAGTCATCAATCAAATTCAATAGGAAAATTGGCAAATTCACGAGAATTTGATAAAAGTTCTTGTTCATCAAATGAAGATGATGATCATATGGCAACAATGAAACAATCAAATACTGAATCGACAATCATTATAATGGATCAATCACCATCATCATCACCATTGCCAATTGATCCATTTGATATGATTATGGCTAAAGGTAATGATTCAACATTAATCGATGATGATGATGTTATGATCAATGAACGATTACATTTCTTAACAAATTGGCCCGATAATATTGGTCGCACGAATTTACCAGTAGTAGGTGGTGGTGGTGGTCCATTGACAGACAAACATTTCGTTGATGATCAACATGATAATAATGAAAAACAACATCATCAACATGGTGGTATTGGATCTAGTTGGCAGATATTCATGGCGGTTATGATTGCAGCAAGTGGTAATTTTATTGCCGGCCTAATACTTGACAATAGTAAATCATGGAATGTATTTCTTTATACACCTGAATTATATTATCTTGTGCCGATATTGTTGAGTTTAAAAGGCAATCTTGAAATGACAATGGTTGCACGTCTAAGCACATTGGCTAATATGGGAATGTTGAAAAGTGTTCGACGTGTTTTACATATTCTATTATATAATATAAGTTTGGTACAAACACAAGCAATCATTGTATCGTTTTTAGCATCAATTGTAACATTATTAGCATTACGAATGGAAGGCGAATCAGATATTGATCTGCCAATAATTGGTGATGCAACATTATCATCATTATCGATCATCAATGCAACCACAAATGCAAATACAATGCAACAACAACAACAATTACATTTACACGGTGATGGTACTGCATTAACGCGTAAATGTTTGCTCATTTTTTCAACATCTTTAGCTACTGCTAATGTTGCCTGCCTTTTATCCAGTAAGTTGACATTGTGACAATTTTTTTTTCATTAATTTTTTCACTTTTTTTTATTATTTTTAGCTGTGATTATGATCACATTGACTATTGCATTACATTATTATAATGTGAATCCAGATAATTTTGTCACAGCATTGGCTGCATCATTTGGTGATATAATAACATCATTTCTTATTGGTGTAATTGGTGAATTTATCAATGAAAGAATCACTTATCAACCGACAGATAATGATGCCGTATTTTTATTGGATTCTGTTCGTTATCATGATGATCTGCAATCACCAATGATGGCTATATTGATTATAATGTTATTCATTGCCATATTTCCATTGTTGGCATGGTTTTCTTGTCGTGATGAATCGAATAGAAAAATTTTACTTGGCTTAGGTGCATGGCTACCAATATTATTATCAATGTTGATTGCATTCGTCTCTGGATTCGTGTTACGTTTTGGTGCAGTTGCATTTAATTTCATGTCATTATTTCAACCACTTATTAATGGGTAATTATCATTGCATTTGTCAAATAATTAATTAATCTAATCTAATTTTTTTGTTTTTTTATTTGTTTGTTTCTACTTTCACAGAGTTGGTGGTAATTTGGCTGCTATTACAACTAGTCGATATTCGACCGAATTACATAAACAAAAAGCACAGGAAACGATTGTAACCAATTTAGAACATCGATCAGCATCGGCATCAACTGCATCATCATCATCATCATCATCATCATCGAAATCACCATTGAAATCAGTCATGTCATCTACATTGCATAGTTTCTTACGATTAAGCGGTATGTGATTGATATTTAGGTTCGATTTAATTTTATCCAAAATCATTTGTTTGTTTGTTCGCAAAAAATTAGATAATCGTAATCAGATGATTTTACTTTACATACTAATGGCCATTGCTGTACATTTATTCTATGGAATATTAGCGCCTGCTATTCATACATCGGATCATCATCACATTACATGGTTATTCTACATGTTTTATATTCCAGCAACTATTCTACAGGTATGGAAACCGATCAATTAATCAATCAAATGCAATTAATTGTTGTCTATTGAACAAAATAGGTTCTATTATTACTTATAGTGACACGTTTCTTCGTCGATTTTGTTTGGTGGTTACATTATGATCCCGATACAAGTGCTATACCGATACTAACATCATTGGGTGATATATTGGGAACAGTTTTCTTATATATTGTTTTCATTTTATTACAATTTATTGGTGATCAATCTGCCGCACCACCATTGAATAATATTGATGATTTAGCTACTGGCACTGTTGATATAGCTGCTAATTTAATATCGACAACAACAACGACATCCTTACCAACATTATATGAATTTATAACCAAAAATAATGATCCAATCAGAATGGCTATTGCATTGGTATCAAATGAAAATCCGACAACAACAACAACAACAAATACATTTATACGACATTTGATGATGAATCCGACAACACCAACAGCTATTTGAATCATAATGATGATGATGATGAAAATTGATATAGATTGATTGTTTATGTGATATTGATGGATTGAATTTCAATTTTGATTTTATTTTCAATTCTGATTGATTGATTGATTGATATATCTATTTTTTTTTGATTGATTATAGATTGATAATGCCTTTTTTTTAGTACCACCTATGCATATATTATATATTTGTAATAATATGAATATATTTGAATTTGAAAAACATGTATTTTTTTTTAATTTTTTTTATTTTTGCTATTTTTTCAAATTATTAAATTTTTTCCTCCGATTTGATTTGATTTTTCTTTTTGTGTTAACAGAAAGCAGCACATGTCAAAAAAAATAAAATTGCCAAAACACATACCAGGTGCTGCCATCTATTGACATGAATCCAATCAATTACTGATTGATCGATAATCGATAAACTTTATTTATTTTATTATATTATTATCATCAATCAATTTAAATATGAAGAAAACAACACATGATTTATATAGTTTTTTTTTAATATATATAGATTTGTAATTGATAAAATAATAATCTGTTATCATTATCATCATAATCATAATAATTATATTATAATTTAAAGAATAAAAATGTTTTTTTTTGTATTCATACGGTTGAGATTCCAATATTATAGTAATAATGATAATAATAATACCGTGAAAATAATTTTTGTGTACCATTCTTGTACTCATCCCTTAGTTTTTGCTTAGAAAAAAAATTCAAATTAATCACCTAAATTGTGAGTGAATCTGTTTTCTGTTTCTGTTTTGTTTTGTTTTGTTTTGAATTAGTTGAAACAATACATATGGGAAAGGGAATATATAAGAACCATAATCATAATATTATTATTTTTATATATCGATCATTTGTTTTGATCAGAAAATTCTTTTTATTTATTTATTTATTTATTTGTTTGTTTGTTTGTTAGTTTTATATATCCGTATAATTGAAAAAACATTCGAGAATCACAAATCAAATGGTTAGAGTAGTGTCACTGTGTGTGTGTGTGTGTGTGAATGAGAAAAAAGTGAAAGAAATAAAAAAAAAACGGCGGGTAAAATTTGAAACACATGAATTACATGATGATGATGACAACGGTTGTGGATCTGTTGTTATGTGTTTAGTGGAATTGAGTATGCCATATGATTGATTGATTGAATGAATTAATGAATGAATGGATGATAATGAGGACAAATTGAGAATTTTTTTTCTGCTTTTTAAATTAATCTCAATCACTATCTGCATCCGATTCTGATGTAGCCGAATTATTGCCATCATTATTAATTAATAATTGGCCACCATGAATTTTTGAATTTTTTGCCAAATTTTTCTGATTATTATTGTTCACCATATACATTGAATTTTTCTTCATTGAATTTGAATTATGATGATGGTTGGTGAAGCATTTTTCAAATTTTGTACCATTAATATGAACATGATGATTATTACCACGATTATCATTATCATCGATATCTTTTTCATTATTTTCATCATCATCATCATGATCATTATTATTATCAGTTGTAGCAGTTGATAAACAACAAATCGGTTTTTTATTATAGCTACTGCTACTACTACCGGCGGCGGCGGCGACGTAAGCTTGATTATCATCTTGTGAATATGTTGTTGGTGAACGACCAGCATTCGAACAACCACTACGACTAATTTCTGAACCACGATCACAATGATCATGACTTTCAGTATGTTGATCTGTAGCTGTACGTGATTCTGATTCATCATCATCATTATCATTATCATCGGTTGAATTATAACTAGTATTGTTACTATGATGATGATGATCGGATGAATTACCACCACCATCATTGTTTTGATTTCGTGATGCTGTACGTGCAGCAGCCATCTCAATCATTGATGAATAATTATAATCACAAATCATGAATGGATGTTTCAAACATTCTAATGCAGTTGGCCTTATGGTTGGATTATAATTTAGTAATGTTTCAAGAAAATCAGCAAATATATTGGCCACCGGTTTTGGAAATTTATGATTATTCACCAATAATGAATAAATATCATAATCTTCAAATAAACGTTTCAAGAATCGTCCTTGAATTAAAATTAAAACAATGAATTAAACCAATAATGAATAATCCAAAACGGTGAACATACCTTGATTATCAAAAAATTTCTGTCTACGTGAACCAGCAAATATAACTTCACGTGGTAATGGGCCCAATAATTCCATCATACGTGCAATGTGATCTTCATCTCTTGTTGTTGATGATGTTGATCGTGGATCAAATAGATAATCACCAGTAGCTAATTCAAATGCTAAACAAGCAACTGACCAAACATCAGCTGATGGACCATAACCGGCACGTAATATCACTTCAGGACTACGATATTGTCTTGTTTGTATGTCCTCAGAATAATGGTGATCCTGAAATGAAAAGATGATTAGAACAGTGAAATTGAATGTAATAGAAAACAAGACACTTACCACCCAACATGCATTGCCAAGATCACCAATCTTGACACGTACATCACAAATCTCAAAAGCAGGTTCACTATTTTTACCTGATTGAATTTCTTTACGAACTAAACGTGGAGCTGATTCTAAAATTTCAGCAGCAAATTCTGGATATCCTACACCTTCATAATATTTGATATAACTTGGATCATATACCCAAGCAAATTCGGGCATCAAAAGATTTTCCTGATTAGACAAATTATTATTCGGTCTTGAACATATTGATTCATCCTCCTCACGAATTGAATTCGAATCATCATTATCAGCTTGTCCATCATCGACATTTGAAGCATTAACAACATTTGTCATGTTTGAACCACTAGTTACGGTTGAACTAGTTGTAGATGATGAATTTGATTTTATATTTGCCAATTTTTTAGCCTTTTTCTTGTTTTTACGACGAAATTTTTTCTTGATTCGACGATATTCGGCTTCTGTGGAACAACAAAACAAAAAATCCATCAATAAATTAATAAAATTTTCATTAACAAAAAAAAAAACAAACAAACCAAGCTGAGCAATAGGTGCATTTGATTTATATGAAAGTGGCAATGGAACATTATGATGTATACGATACAATGCTTTTAATGCCAATTTTTGAGCCATTTCATGACTGCCAACAAGTAATACATTTTCTGGTTTTAAATCCGTATGAATAATACCACAAGTATGATGAAGATAATGTAGACCACGTAATACCTGTTACATATAAACATATATAAATGTTTAATGTTTAATTATGATCATTTTTTTTACATGAAATAATAATAATATAATATACTTACTTGTTTAATTATACTGCGTACATTTTCCAATGGTATACCATTGTATTGTGATTTAATAATTAAATCTAATAAGGTACAGCCAAGTACCTCGAAAACCATACAGACATCTGATACATGAAACGATGATCAAAAAAAAAAAAAAAATTAGTTGATTTTGTTTGTTTGGAACAATTTTTTTTCATTTTCAAAACTTACGAGATCCATTGATACCGATAATTTGAAAGCTATCATACATTTGTACAATCTCTTGATTGTGATCAGGATCAGCTTTTCTAACCTGATTTTTTTTTGCAAGAAGAAAACAAAAAAGAATCTGCGTTATCTAACGAATTCAATGAAATCCCGAATGGCATACATACCCTCATCAATAATGTAATTTCATCATGAGCTGTTTCTGTATATTGTCCAGCACTTTTAACAACTTTTATTGCAACAAAAATTTTCTCTCTGTATAAATAAATAAATCAAATGGAATGTAAATAAACAAACAAAATCAATCATCATTTTCATTAAAATTTGATCGATTACTTACTTCATATCCCAACAGAGCCAAACAGTGGAGAAATGTCCCCAGCCTAATTTAAGTATGGCCGAATATCGACCATTAAGAACATCGAATATTTTCAATGGATGATAACCACCTAATTTATAATCAATTAAATCTTCTTGTTCCTGGTCTTCATCAACATCTTTTTGTTCTTTTATATAACGACGACAAAGATAGCTAATCAATTCAATATCTTCTTCATCTTGATCAATTATGTTTGCCGATGGTGATGATTTAGGCTCTTTAGTGATGACATGGCCACCACCACCAATACCGCCACATGATGATGTTGGATCAGAACCAGGACCACAACCTGCACTCGAATTCGATGATAATGATGCCTGTGTTGATAGATGTGGTCCACAAATATCACTTTTCACTTCCAATGGTTGTTGTTGTTGTTGAAATGTTTGATTTCTTGCATTGTGAAGTAATTGATTGGGATAAATATCCGGTGAACCTGAACCGATTGCAGCATCTTCCAGGCTAAGTGATTTTCTAAAACGCGAAAAGAAATCCATTTGTAATTGGACAAGAAACAAAAAAAAAGAAATTTGTTAATTCGAAATAGAAAAGCACATGAAACATATGTTAATAACAGAATTCTAGATCCTAGATGGCGTAGTTGATCAAGATTTTTTTTTTGAGTGGCTCTCGTTTTATTAGAATTTTTAAATCAAAAAAATTATTTTTAAGAAATTTAGAAAAATAAAACCTTGGATGACGCCAAAAATATGCTGATTGTGATGATGATGAACTAAATATTGTTGGCAATTTACGGCCAGTTTTTATTCCCATTGTCATTTGTTGTTGTCCATATGAATGCTGTTGATGCTGCTGCTGAAGCTGTTGTCGTTGTTGTTGTTGTTGTAATAATTGTTTTGCCATTTTAATCGTTGATTCAACATCATTTTCAATATTAATCGATATTGATGAATCCGAATAAGGTGATGGACGATTTTGATAATTAATTGATTGATTAATTGGCGGACTAAAGCCCAATAATGGAAATTGCGTCATCATCATTGTTGTCGCTGTTGTTGATGGTTTATAATCAACAGAATCGACTGAATATTGTTTACGAATCATTTGTTGTTGTTGCTGCTGATGTTGCTGATCAAACGATGATAATCGATGAAGATGATAAATTGATGAATAATGATGTTGAGACGATCCAGTTGTTAATGATATCTGCGATGTTGTTGTTGTTGTTGTTACCGTTATTGATGATGATGATGATGATGATTGTTGTGTAACGATTGTTTGATGATATCCCGGTGATGCATTAATCCAAGCACCCGGTGTTGTTGGTGATGAATGTCTATTTGGTTCTGTCATTAGATTATTATTATTATTGATTATTGTTGATGTCGATGATAACTGTGGTTGTAATTGATGCTGTAAATGTTGATGATGATCATCATCAAATGAATGTGTTAAACGTAATGATGGTACAGATAAACGTGAATTATTATTTGCGCCATTAGCGCCACCACTTATTGTTGTCTGTTGTAATTGTTGTTGTTGATGAAGCTGTTGATGATGATGAAATGAATTTAAACGTGATAAACGTGGATGCTGTGGTGAACGACGAAATAACCTTTGTCTTTGTTGTTGAGCTGTTGTTGTATTCAAATATGATGATGATGTCCGTTCATTCGTATTATTATCAGTATCGATTGTTGTTGTTGTCGTCATCGTCGTTGTTGTTGATGATGGTGTTGGTGATAATAATTGATCTGTACCGCTTACAACAACACTAGATGTCACTGTATTACCATCCTCATTAGTTATTGATGTCGCACCAGTTTTATTATTATTAATCAATAATGGTAAACTTTTAATTGTTGGAAGTTGTCTTCTTCGTTGTTGACTAAAATTTGGATCATCATTCGTTGTCATTGTTGTAGTTGTTGTTGTTAATGATGATTGTTGCTGTTGTTGATTAATAGGTGATGAACTGTGGCTTGGACTTTGATTTTGTTGTTGTTGTTGTTGTTGCTGCTGCTGCAGAAAATTTTGAAAATCTTTTGGTGATAATCTTCGTGTACTGGATGATGAACAATTACCAGGTGCTGTGGTTGTTGTTTGTGATAATATTGATGTTTGTGTCAAATCACGATATGAACTAGGTGATGATGATGGCTGTAATTGTGTGAAATTCAATTGTGATTGTGATGGATATTGGCTATATGATCCGGATCCATATTGATAGGATTGTTGTTGTTGTTGTTGATGATGATGATGATGACTATTATTATGATAATGTACATTACCATAACGATCCAATGTTGGCACATCCAATGAATATGATGATTGTACCGGTGGATGATGATAATGATGAGTGTTAATTGGAAAATGACCACTTCTTGTACTACCACGTCGATTACCTAACGAGGTAGTCGTTCCACCACTTCCAGTACCAGAATCACCGCCGATACTGCAATAGTCATCTTGTTTCCATGATGAAGTTGATGAGGAATTATTATTATTATTATTATTTACATTATTTCCACATTGAATCTGCTGTTGTGTGGACGATGATGATGATGAATTAAGAAAAAATTGAGGTGTTGATCCATTCGATGGTAATGGTAGATTCTCCAATGATGATCGTTCCATCATTAATGCTAAATTTCCTGGATCAATCAAACCAGTACTATATTCATCCACTGATTGTGAAGCCATAATTGGTGGTGCTCTTGGACCACTACCACCAGGACTTCCACTCATTGATAATCTGTTATTTGCACCACCAGGCGAATTATCTTCCAACATAAGATAAGGATTTTTGGTAAAATTCACTTTAGGTAATATTCTTGAACCACTTGGCGATATAGAATTATTCCCTGATGAATGAGGCGGATAAAGATAGGCTGCAGCAGCAGCAGCACTACAATTACTATTATTGGAACTAATACTTGATGTTGATTCATAATGGCAGCCACCACCATGTAATTGTATAGAATTATCATGATTATTATTATTGGCCATCATTAACAATAATGATGATGCCGATGAACTTGTACCATACAATGATGGCGATTTCATTTGCTGTTGTTGCTGTCCATATGAATTATTGTGTAAATAATGATTATGATGTTGATGATGATGTAAGCTCAATGATGATGGATATTGATGATGTGATGGATATGCCAATGTTGGTGCCAAATAATGATGATCAAATGATGATTGTCTCATCATCGATCCATTATTATTTCCAATATTAACATTGGATGTATTATCCAATGGTGATCGTCTAATTGGTGAATGTTGTGTTGTATGTAATGGTGATTGTTGTTGTTGTTGTGTCAACATTATTATTATTTGGATGATGTGTAGATGATGATGGTGTATCAATAGTTACCATTATTGTTTGTGATGCTGGTTCCGTATTTGAACGTTCAATATTTGGTGGTCTTTGTCTAGTAGTAGCAGTAGTAGCAGCAGTAGGGTATCGTAGCCATGGTGATGTTTGCTGCTGTTGTTGTTGTTGTTGATATGATGAACGTGAATGATATGTGGATTCCATAAAACGATCATTATCATTCATATCATCCATATCGGCAGGTTCTTCCTGTATTAGATAATCTTCTTTATTATGATCTTGTTGATCATCAAATTGATTTCGTTCTTGCAATATTGTTTGATCATCATCACGATCACGATGATCAAATGAATAAAGTCTTGATAATTGTTGTCGACGATCTGATGCTGTTATATTGATTGATGATGGTTTCAATGTTGTCATCGTTGTTGCTGCTGCTGTTGTTGTTGTTGCAATCGATTTTTGTTGTTGTTGTTGTTGTTGATAATCTGGTGCTCTTAAATGATAATCATATGATGATGAACAAAGAAAATCATCATCATCATCACCAGCATTTGAATTTTTAATTTCTTCATCATCACCATCATTATTGGTGATGATAATTGATTCATTTGTTTTATCATTATTCCATAATAATTTTTCACATTTTTCACGTTCAAATCTTAATACTAATTCATCAAATTGTGGTTCACGATTTTTTAAATATGGATCCATTGATTGTTGATCCAATTTCAATGGTTTTCGATTACGTCTTTTTGTACGTTTTCGATGTTTCGGTGGTTGTTGTTGTTGTTGTTGTTGTTGCTGCTGTTGCTGTTGTTGTTGTTGATTAGATTGATGATTTGTTTGTGATGATTGTTTTATAGCTAATTTCACCGTTAAAAATTGATTCGATTTTTGCTGTTGCCGTTGTTGTTGTTGTTGATATTTTTTTTGCAATGATTGTTGCTGATGTTGTTCATCATTAATCAAATTATGTATTCGTGATGGACGACTCTGATAACGACGACATGGTGCAAAATTCGGTTCCTGTATTTGTTCTTGTATTGTTGGAGCCACCGATATGGGTGTCGAATATTTAAGAAGCTCGATTTTATTATCAATATCAATATCAGTATCATCATCGTCATCAGTATCATCATCATCATCATCGTCATCTTCATCATCATCATTTTCATTATCACTACCATCATTTTTTCGATAAGATGATGATGATGATGATGGAATCGGATGCTGTGGTGGTTGTTGTGGCTGTATTCGATATTCATATTGATGACGAAATTGTTTATTATTATTATTATGATTATTTTTTTGAAATTGATCAAATATTGCAATTGTTGGTGATAATGGACGTTGATGTCTTACATTATCCATATCAATACATGATGATCGTATTATATTGTTTTTCTTTTTACCATTATCATCATCATCATCATTATCATCGTCATCATCATTATTTGGATAAAATTTTGTTTTATTTTCATGACCATTTTTTGCATCATGTTTCATCATGATAGGTGTTGATTTTGTTGATAAATTATTATTATTGTTGGCAGTGTTGTTGTTGTTGTTGGTCATATTATTATTTGTATTATTACCACTACCGATCCACCAACATTTTGCTGAACGAAAATATTTTTGTGCACGATCTTGAAATCGATCCATAATTAATTAATTAATTAAAGGCGTTGATGCAACAACAACAACAACAAAAAAATATATATATAGATAAATAAATGTTTTGTACACTTGTAACACGAGAGATTTCGATATGATTAATTAGACCAAAATAAAAATGTTCCCGAGATAATAAAAAAAAAAAAATTTAAAATTTCTTGTTCATTGTTGTTTTGTTCAAAGAAATTGATGGCCAAAAAAAAAATTGACTGATAACAGAAACGGAAAAAAATTTTCCAGCAACAACATTAACAAACAAAGAGAAAAAAAATCACAGAATTTTTGATATAAATTTTTGCTTGTTGAAAGTTACAAGTTTCATTGATATTCGTTGCTGTCGTTTTTTTTTCATTTATCCAATTTGTTCATTGTGTGTGTGTTTTGTCCACACATCATCATCATCTTCATCATCATCGTTGGTGTTTTTATTGCTGGTGGTTTCGATTTTCATGATTTTTTTTTATTTGCTGAAATTTTTCTTTTGTCATTGAGGAAGGAAGGTGAAGATAAAAAAATTTTTTTTTTTTTGCTTATTTCGATAATTATCCAGATAGTTGGAAATTCACAAGATTGGGAGCAAGAATGGATAGTGAAAAAAAAAGATTCAAAAATTGTTTCCGTTTTCTGCTCACACCTCAACCAAAAAAAAACGAGAAAAATTCATTCCTTTTTTTCCACAATGTAAAAAAAAACAAAAATGTACAAATCGATACAGAAACAAAAAAAACAAGTTAGAAAAAAGAAAAAAAAAAAAAATTCCAAAGAATTCAAAGATAAGCAGCATTATATGTTCTGAAAGATATTTTTCGTGTTTGTGTGTGATTTTTTGTTTCATATTTATATTTATATTTATATATTCTCTATTTATCATCAAAATCATCTTCATCATGATCAAAATTACCATTCAATCTTTTAACCAACAGTATTTTTTTCGAAAAAAATATTCACAGATTCTGCTAAACAGAATAATATATAGAGATAAAAGAGAAAAAAAAATACCAGAATTCCATTTTCCCAGTTATATGGAATGGAATGGATGGGAGAGAGAGAGAGAAAAAAATGAATAAACTTTAAAGATGTACTTGTTGTGTGTGTGTGTGTGTGAATAAAAAAAGATTAACTAAATATAGTTTGTATGCAAGTGAAAACCACAAAAGAAAAATGTTTTTGCTTTGGGAATTTTTTTTTTTTTGGTTTTGTTTTTTTGGTTATTCTTCCATTTATTCATCATTTATTTTAAAACCTAAGCTTAGTATGTGTGTGTGTGTGTTGTTCATAAATGATGTGCTAAAATGTGAAAAAAAAAATTTTTTTTCACTCAACCATAGTAGTAGTATAATGATGATGATGATGATATCATTATCATTAATAATTATATAATCATCATCATCATGAATGATGATGGTGATGGATGAACCATCTATATCCATGATGAATAAAGTAGATTTTTTTTTCTTGTTCACCGCTAGAGGCAGTGAGTGTGGTTTTTATCAAACAAACAAACAAAAAAATTTTTTCCTTGTGAATGAAATTTCACTTGTTTGTTTGTTTTTTAGTCAACAACAACAACAACAACAACTACAACAACAACGAAAAAAACAACAACAACAACGAAAAATTCCAATGGGACTAGACAACCCTCGACAATCCTCATCATCATCATCGTCGTCATTGTTCTCAGAAAAAAAGATGAGGAAACGATTTGTGTTTCAAAAGATGATAATAGTAGAACGAAGAATAAAAACAAAACAAAAAAAAATGATGTGAAAATAAAATAAAATCGAAAAAATTCACTTTCAAAGAATCATCATCATCGTCATCACATGGTTATAAGATGATACAGAATAAAGAATCAAAAGCTAAAAATCGAAAACGATTCTTTGCCATACACTAACACACACGAACATAATAATAGAATATATGAAAAGCATTGAAAAAAAATGATGATTTCTCCATTGTTTTTATATTTTTGCAAATATAAAACCCAATTTGTTTTGGTTCATTCAATTGGCGGTATTCAGATCATCAAATTTTCAAAAGAATTTTTTTTTCATTCATTAATCATCATCATCATCATGGTAGAAGTAGTTTTTTGGTGATAATTATCAGAGAGAAACCGAGGACAGGTGTTGTTATTATAGAAATAATGAAAATGGAAATGAAAAAAAAAATGGAAAATTAGAAAAAAAAACTTTAATTATTCCATTGTCATACTAGAATTATTATTACCATCATCATCATCATCATCATATTATTATTATTATTGATTGCAGAATATCATTGTTTTATTCTGCCTATTCTAACCGAACAAAACAAACAAAAAGAATGGAAAAAAAATGTAATGAAAATGAAATTTTCATTCCATTTTCAAACACAAAACAAAACAACAACAACAACATTTCTCTTTCTTTTTCATTTTTTTTCTGGTTAGTATATAGTTCTCATTGTCATCATTGATGTTCATTATATAATTCAGCTTGGATCGTGTTTTATTTTTTTTTTTTTTTTTGTTCTTTTGTTTGAAAAAAAAATAAAAAATAACGACCGACATTTTTCACCTTTATATGGATTATATATTTATGGTATAAATATATGATCCTTGTTGTTGTTTTTGTTGTTGTTGTTGTTGTTGTTGTAGTCGTTATCGTTGTCATGATAACACAAAATGATGATGATGATAGCGACAATTTTTTTTCTGCTTTCACTATAATGTAGACTAAAGAATATTATATTCGTAACGAACAACCAAAAACCAACAACCAACAACAACAACAACAAATGTCAAGTCAAGTCAACAAAATGATGATGATGATGATGATAATGATGCATGAATTTTTTATTATCATTTTCATTATTTGTTGTTGTTGACATATAAGAATATATAGAATCACAAGAATCAATAGTGTTTGGTGGTGGTGGTGGTGGTGTTGGTGTTCATTGAGATCATCATCATCATGAAAAATAAAGAATGGAATTCACAGCAACAGACACTATTATTCTATAAACTTTTGCTTGTGGCTTGCCACTGTAAATGACACATGATATAATGATTATAATAATAAACAATCGACAACAACAACAAAACTGTAAAAACATCACCAAAAAAAGGGTTAACACCTCCTTGTTGTTGTTGTTGTTGAATGTTTATCATTATTATATAAATATTAATGAATGTCATGAATATTTTTCAATTTCAATTTCTCACGTTTCTCATATATTGTTGTTGTTGTTGTTGTTGTTGAATGTCAATATATAATGAGTAAAAACGCATCATACCCAACCAAGCAACCAGCATCACATTTGAAAAAAATGTTCATGTTTTGAAAATGTAAATCAAAAATGAAGAACAAAAAAAAAATCGAGTCTACAGCATCATTAATTTGAATATTTTTTGTTTGTTTGTTTGTCATGTGACACATTTTGTTTCCGAAACAAAAAAAAATCGTTGTTGTTTTTTTTCTAAAAATGAAACAGACTAGAAAATAAACCTAACAAATTCCAGAGAATTTGAAAAAACAACAACAACAACAACAACAACAAATGAACAAATGAACATGATGATGATGATGAAAAAAAAAGTTATAATTAATTATATATTGTCAATTAACATCACATGGTCAATCAGCATTCATGCATTATTATTGTCAACAATGTCGTCATTTTGTACACTAGTTGATATTATGATGATGACAATAACAACAACAACAACAACAACAACAACAACGACAATTACAATTTTATGGACGTCATTTTGAAAAATTATTCATGAAATCAAACCAACAAAACCAGAAGAAAATAATGTTGAATTTCAATGAAAAAAGCAAAAAAAAAAAAGAATAGAAAAAATTCACTTTATCAATGTCTTAGTGGTCAATTTGATTGACTGAATAATTCTGGTTTTTTCCTTTCATTCAATTTTTGATCATACAATCAATCGATCATTTTCACCAGTACCAGTTTTCATTGTAAAATAGTCATCGGGGTGGTGGATTGTATTGATAATTTAATTTAATTTTTTTGTTTTCTTGATAACGAGAAATCCGTATGATTATATTACACACACATATATATATGTAGAATATACATTTGCATAATAGAATATAGATAGATTCTTATCATGATAATTTTGTAATGTAATGTGATAATCAACCACTGTACTAGTGAGTGAGTGAGAAAAACAAAATTTTTTTCATTTCATTTTCATTTTCACAGTCACAACAAAAAAGCTAAGAATTTTTTTTTTTGTTCTGTCTAGATTTAATTAAGATTGAAAGAGAATAATAAGAATAAGAATATAAATATATTGATGGATGGATGAATGAGTGGTGGAAAAAAAAATTCCATTTATTCATTCATTCATTCATTTATCTATGTCGAACAAGATTGTTCATCGATCACAACAGACAACTTTTCATTATTTTTTTTTTTTTTTTTTGTAGTTCAAGGTTTTTTTTTTTTTTTTTCCATCTTTCTATATTCATTATTAATGTTAATGCTAATACAAGTCTATATTTTACAAAACTAATAGAATGGCAAAGAATTTGTGTGTGTGAGAGAGAGAGAGAAGAGAAAAACAAACAAGCAAACAAGCAATCTGACAAACATTCACTATATACACACGTATATTTGTGTCATGATTTTGGACAAAATTTATATATCTAGAACATTTTCATATCTAATATACAAAATGAAATGGATTAATGGACAAACACACGCACACACCAAAAATTGGAAAGTTTTTTGATGAAAAAAAAATTATTCCAAACACGAATAATACAACGGTATAAATTACATATTTATTTATCTTGAATTGTTATGATTATTTTAATTTTTCTTCCTGATACAATTCTCAGGTATGATTAACCAGGACCAAAAAAAAAAAAGCAAACAAAATATCCAATTGGTTGGTGCTGAAGGGGAATATATCACCAGCAGTTACAGTGAAAACTAAAACTAGAATTTCATAAACACACACACACACAGACAAA